GTTGAATCGTTGAATCGATGAATCGTTGAATCGTTGAATTGTTGAATTGTTGAATTGTTGCATCGTTGAATTGTTGAATTGTTGAATTGATGAGTAATCTGTAATTAAAAATACAAAATAAAATTAATTATCTTTCATATCATTAAAAACATTTTTTATGAATAAAAAACACGAATAAAAACAATCATGATTTAAAAAATGAATGTGTGAAAAGTAATAATTAWRATWAKAAAATAATACTAACCGTTGATTTATCCAGACGAAGCCCCAGATTCGTTGATAAAGATGATCCAGAAGAAACGAAGATATTTTAATTCACACTTTCGACCATGACAATATTTTAATCGAGATGCAAATGCTCTTCTACCGAATTGGCCGAAAGTGTGTTAATGATTCTAATCGCGTACCGAACAAATTGTTTTTTAACAAGAATATTTTAACAAATTCTTGTATTGATTTTAAATAACGATTGAATTATTTTTAAAGCAATCTATACGATTGCATACAAAAGATGCAACTTTTTTCGAAACAAACACTGACTCTAAGATTGCATTGCACGCAATTGCAACTGAAGCTCTGAAAATCAAAGTTTAGTTAAAGCAAGTCGTAGCGTACTTCTGTTTATTTATTATGCTATAAGTAAAAAATATATTAATCGTTATAAAATTCAATTATTTAAACTACATGATCAAATAATTCTGAAATCGTGCTAYTATTTTCATGTGCAGTAATTATTAATAAAAAAAATATTTTAAAGATGCAACTACAGACTTGTAAGCTATAAAAAAAAAAGATAAAATACAAACGAGAAAATATCGCGTTGCATTCTATCTTTCAAAGAATAAATTTAATTGCAATAGGGTTATTTTTACAGAAGTATGCTAATTGCGTTATTATCTATAGAAAAGAATAGATATAGCATTAATGTAAAACTAAACACAAGGTACAATATTTATATATAATCATTTGAACGATTAATTATATATATAAAATCGATTGAACGTGTCTTGAATTATTTATGTGCATTTAATATACCATAAGAAATAAAATGAATTTAAATGAATAATTTAAACAACAATATTGCAACGCGTTATTAAATAATTATTTTATTAAATCATTTCATTTGCATTAGAATTAATTAATTAAACGAGAAGTTAAAATTTTCTAATGCATCGAACGTCAGCCATTGGCCCGACAGTGCTTACGTTGCACCATACAAATTCTATGGACACCGTAAGCAATATCGGTTACCGGATCTCACCACGGGGAGGTTGCTGCGTCGGAGATCCATTATAAAATTAAAGGAAATAAATAAAGAAATGTACTTGCACGTATATGTATGCAGTTGTACCAGTATTCCACCATTGATTAGTATAATTTCCATGGAACGATGGTGAACGTCTTTCTGAGAGGGGGGAAAGAATGGGATGATTGCATACGTCTTTCTGAAACCATAAAAAGAATGACAGTTATGGCAAAAATCTTTGTGAAACCATAGAAAAATATAAAATCATATAATTCTAATTAGATATCTTCTTACCTAATGTCAATGCATTCACACCATCGATTATGATTGCATCAATCTGTTAATCAAATGAGATTTGATTAGATTATAAGATTTGATATTAAAATATTAATTAATTAAACAGTAATAATTACTTACACGGAGCGGAACTAGATGAGACCTGTCGCACGGCCGTCCGGAAACAAAGTGAATGATGACGTAGACGAGTCACCTCTCCCCTCCTGTTTACCTTATACGGCAGTGCCTAAATGTTTTTCTATACGTACTAGATAAAAGTCACGTGTATACATTGCCAACGTTCGACGCGTTTGATTTTCACCTTCACCTTCGTATGTATTTCTTTATCTCTGCATACATTCAAACGTATTTGATCATTAAACGTAAATATAAAAATCAATACTTTATGTATAATACGTTAAATATGTTATAATAAAATAAATTACAAATAAAATACATTAGTATGAGAATGTATTGAATATACTGTGAATGTATTAATACATAAAAATAAGAACGTTATAATCTTAAATTTTATTGATTAGGTGGATTATTCTTTTTCTACACATGCATAACGTTCGGAAAGTTATATAAACAACTTTTAATAAAAATAATTTTCTAGAGTATAATGACTCAGTCTAACAAGAGACTTTGAAGAGGATGGTGCATAACTACTATGCACCTAGTTTTTGACAACATCATACACTTCTATCAATTATTTATTATTTATTTTAATATTCTAATACACTCTACTTATATTTCAGATTGTTTAAACACATATGTACTGGTTTAAAAATTACATACTTATTAACATACTCTTAATTTAAAATTATTTTCATGTGATATACTTTTAGATGAAAATATTCTCTTCCAAAGTCTTCATTGCACAGGAGCATTAAAAAAAATGTACATTAGTTTAAACAAATACATAAAAATTAAAGGAATGTTTTAATCAGTATATTACAATGTGATTAAGTTTCTAGTCTTTATTGTCTTTATTYTACTCGTTATTTTTTAAATATTAACAAGGAACGTGTTACATGTATACACAACATTCATATATTTAATTTTCTTTATATTATACAAATACCATTTTATACAAAATCAATTAGGCCTTTTTATCGTTTTATGTATCAAGTACACACATAAAAGAAGAAATTACAAGATTTTAGAATGAATCAAGGCAATTTTTTTATGGTATTTAAACTAGCAAATACTTCAGCTTTCTTCTATCATAATGGTAAATTTCCATAATTCATATTTGCCATTAGTATATTATTTATTCATTGTCTTAATATATTGGTTGTATAATTGTGTAAAGAAATGTACTTTCTTTTTTCATTTACATATATGTTAATAAATGTAAGGAAAAGAAATTCTATTTCAGAAAAAAATGTTAAAAATTTTATGTCATCTAGCTGCAACTCTAAAATAGTAATAATAAACAATTAGTAAAAATTCGTAAGGATAGCTACAATCATAAAGATAAATTATAAAAAGTTTTACATTTTTTTAACTATTATTTTGGCCGAAATAAAAAATTAATTATTTAATGATAAAAACCTCAAGTTCTTTAGACGAGAAACTTAAATCGTTTAAGCGCAAAGGCTAAAATTGAAAAATTGACACTTGAAACTTAATAGATATTTTATTTTTATTTATTTCAAACCATATGAAACTCTAAAAGTGTAAAAATTTAAAAATACTCAAAAATGGAGGACCCTAGTTTATATATATATGTTTATACGTGTATATGTATATTTGTACGGTGGTTTAAACGTAGTAACGAACGCGAGACGTCGGAAGGAATGAAGAATTGCCTGATACGTACCATATTTTATTTTCTACCTTGAAAAATGGACCAGTAGTAGAAAAGTACAGTGCGATATCCAATGTTTCATCGTGCGTTCTTCGTCGTACACTATGCATGCAAGTTTTCCATACCGATACGGATTCGATCGACCTATCGAAGTAAATTTATATTCCGACATTATCTACCTAACGGGAAGGGGGTTGGGTGTTGGGGGGATGGGTGGTCAAACGATAAAAGCACAAAGTGTAACAGAATCGAGAAATTATCGCGTATTTCTATAGTTTTCTTTTTATTATTTTTGTATTCCTATATTTTGTTGTCGATATAAAATTTCATGATCAGACGAAAAAGTTCGTTCATCGTGTGTAGGAAAGCTTGCTTTCCTTCCTCGTAACGTTAAAACGTTTTAAGTTTAGTTTGGAATATTGTCGAGGACTTTTCTAAAGAGAACATTCGCCATTGGATTAAATCTTGGGATATTAACCGAGAATAGTTTGCACCAACACTCAAGTAGAAAACGTTTCTCTCTCTCTCTCTTATATACATGTTCACACACATACACGCAAATACTTTTTCTCTTGGGGAACTTTTTGGATTTGGTCACGAAGGAACGGTAAGAAGGACGTATTCAGAAGCACGCTATACTTGGAAGGTGTCGTCGAGTTCGCCCAGTCCATTTCCAAGGCTTTGTTGAACGAGATTGATACCGAACCCATGGGACACGCGAACTTAGAAGATCTCTATTATGTCACGGAAGGACGAAATGAGCTTCCTGGGACTTTCCTTTCCCGCATTCCCTTTCCCTTTAACTTTCTATATTCGGAGAAACCGATCGTACTCAGTAGGAATCATTTCGTTTAGAAGATTCCAATAAATTTTGACTTTTACTAAAAAAAAAAGATATATAGAATTACGTTTAAAGTAAACGGAACATAGGTTTTTTTTTTTTTTTTTTTCTAAAAAACGTAAAAGTCTACTTAAGGATCTAATCGATTGATTTCAATAAATAAAATCCCTTTTGTAATTCTGTTATTAATCAAATGTTAACTTTTCGTATATTTGAATTTATCTAAATTACATTAATCACAAATTCAAAGATTAAGAAAATAATTCTTGATTTTTCGGTCGACCAATTTTACCGCAAAGCTGCTGCAAAGGTATTTCAACGTCAACGTCGATTGATTTCGTTCGATTAACTGGACATTTTTCGTCTTTGCATGATTTGTTTTTGGTCATGTGACAACGACCATCGCAATTACATTGAAATCGTACGATTCGTATTACGTAAACGTTACCGACGTTTGTGAATGTATAATCATTTCCAGTTTTTAATTCGAAAAGTTCGTCGCCGTCGTTAACACTTTGCAAAAGCAAATTCGAATTGTTTTCACTCAAAACCTTATCTGGGAGAATGGCAGCATAAGCTTTTCTTAGTTTATCTAAATCGTTTACTATAACACGTGCATCCTAAAACACATAAAATATTAACGATTTTCAAAGTTAGATGAAAAAATAAAGTTTCGATATACGCCATTTGGTATAACCCATATATGGGTCGGTCGTTCATACAAGTTTTTACATGGACAAACTATATATGGGTTGATATAATGAAACTGTTAAAATTTTCAATTACGGGCATTAATATTTGCAGTGATTGCACAAGTAATATTGAATTAGTTTGGATAAATAAATTTTTAATTTTCTTGGCCAGAAATTTAACTGATAATAGTTTCTTATAGTTAATTCTTTTTTTACAGATTTATAGTTTACGTAACAAAATAAGTTCAACAAATGTGATATAGTCAAACATAGTTCAAAGTTATTTTTTATTTTTAATATTTTATAACCCTTGATTTCCATTAATTTATATTTTATGTTGAAGCTTTTATCTTAAATTAAAAACGTAAAAAGAACAAAAAAAAAATAATTAAAAGTCAATGTAGAAACGTCGAGTCGTGTATAAATAAAGATTATATATATTTTCTGCTTGCATTTTTACAAAAAGAAAAAAAAAAGAAAAAAAAAGATAATCCGTTGAATGAGAAAATCGATTAAAAAAGTAGATAAACTCACGAATATTTCGGCATCGCTAGCCATTCTCTCGATAAGATTGATCCAGTTGAGGTAAGCTGTCCTATACTTATCGTTGACTTTCGTATATTCGGGATAAATGTCGGTATAGAGGTTCTTGTAGCCAAAGGCACCGGCTGCATCCGTATTACCATCTCGACCATAAGAACTTCCACCGAGAAACCAGACGGTGTACATTCTCAAAATTGGATACTGTTTCGTACGCAAGTGCCAATATCGTGCAAAGTAAAGAGCAAGTTCTTGATTGGGACCACCTTTTCCTTTATCCGATCGAAGATCAACGGTTGGTCTACCTCCAAACAAAAGACACAATCCTAAAGCCCATTCTTCCTTCGAAGGAAATATCTCGATAACTTTTAGATCGGTCAATGAACAGATTGTACTATCTTTCATCATTTCGAACATCTCGAATTTGTTGATCTTTCCTTCTACTGCGAGTATCATCAATGAGGCCATTTTAACGTATTCCCTTGCGAATTCTTCAACCGTACCGGAACAAACAGAGTGAAGTTTAACGGGTAATAAACCATAGGTGTAGGTCGTAGCAGCCATACACTCCATAGCATCGGCATTGCAAGCTATCACGTAAGACTGAACGAATTTGTATTTCTGTTCCTCGTTCAATTGCCCATCCGCTGCGGTTTCCCTTGGTATCGTCTCTTGTATTAACTCTCGAATGCTTTGAGAGACTTTACCGATCAGATTGTACTTGGTCAATATGGCGAGTGCTTTCTCACCCTTGGGATCGTAAGTACACGGACCACCTCCAATAAGGGCCATCGGTTCATCCGATACATCTGACGTGATCAAGATAATGATTTTAGCTGGATACGCTGTACGAGCTAGATCACCACCTGAATCAAATAATCGATTATTATTTTAATCAATAATTATTATCAAATATGTAATCACTGTTTTTATTATAATTGTTTTTACCTCTTATCGCAGACAATTTATTTCTCACTATATTGATTTCTTCCGAAGTTGCACTTAACCGTTCCAATCTTTCCAATAACCTAAGCTTATCTTTCAATGTAATCGTTTCTTTCGGACAACATAAAAGATCGTCGACATTATGTGATAACATAACTATTAAAATGTCCCTTTTCTTTAACTTCTTGCAATAATCGAGAATTTTTTTAGTAATTTCGATTGCTTTATCGTCTGGGTACCCATCGGTCCCAGCTTCGACGTAAGTGATACGACTATCGAGCTTAGGAAATGCTTCGGGAAAACTCCACATCATAAACACCGATCTACGAGGAACTACCATCCATCCTTTTTTCAATTGTTTTCCAACGATCCTTTCAAATGCCGAACTCATGGTAACAGCTTCTTTACCCCATCCAACAATGTGTAAATTATTCTTCAACTTATATTTGACTTCTTTGATAGTTAATGTATTTTTTCCATCGTATTTTATCTTTTTCGGTAGGATCACCGATGTGTAAATACATTTTATACCAGCCTCGACAATGGTACTCATACTTTCTCGAATCTGAAAATATTATGTTCAAAAATTACGGGATAAATTTGATAAATGTAAAAAATTTACTTGTCGATCGACAAACCTCGACCATTTGTTTTTCAATCTCCGATTTATTAGCATCTCTAATAATTTTTGCTTTCGTTCTTTCTTCCTTATCAAAGCGATATTCTTGCAAAGCCAATTTTTCGGCAAGTCTCTTTGCTAAAGATTTTTTCACGATGTTTATCACATCCTGCCTTTTCTTTTCGATCGCAACTATTTTCTTAGTTCTTTCCTCTTCTTCTAAAGGATCCAATATCTTAGGCTTCCGTTTCTTTTGCTTTTTCTTTTGCTTTTTCTTTTGATGTGCCTGTTTCGTTGGCATGATTATTGTGATACATTATTCATTGTTTAGAACAATTTAGGATCTTTCTTAAAAGGTTTTTATGTAATTTCGAAAGATTTTAAATTAGACAAACACATTTTAATCATATAAATTTATTGCATGATGTTTCTAAATTTTTACATGTTTTAGGGTTAAAACAAAAGTATTATAATTAATTATAAGGATGTTGAGTGAAGTTCTTGTTATATAAATTCATAACAATTATATCGTTATAACAACAAAAAATCGATTTATGAAAAAATATTAATCGCTGGCAAGAAACCTTAACAGGTAACCTACCATCAGATCTCGGTCGGTAAGATAAAGGTAGAGCATTACTATTACCAATATGAGGCATAGAAATGTTACTAGATTTCAATATATTTTAAACTTTCTTATTTCCTAATAACTTTTAATAGTAGTAGATATTTTTAATAATTTTTTTCTATTTGTTTTTATTTTGTTTCGACTCTTTTTTTGTAATAAATAATTTTCTCTTTCCTGCATATATTTAAAAATTAAGAATTATGAAAAAACAAAATAAAAACAAATAGAAAAAAAATTATTAAAAACAACTTCCCCAATGGAGGATCAAACCACTAACTAGCAGCACGAGAAGCTAGTACGCTACTACTTACGCTATTGCACCACTTAGTGCACAGTTGCATTTAAGATAATATAAATATGTATACAAAAAATTCCAAAACTTTAAAAGCATTTTTTTCAAAATTGGCTTCGCATTTTGATAAAATACTTTACCACGTTAACACCCTAAAGGTATACTACTAATATACCAAAGCTCGTTAAAATCCGTGAGGGCACAACCGTAAGGTCTCCGTGTTAGAAATGAGAAATAATGTTTTCGTTTTTTCAACTATTAATAACTAATTAAATAGTTAATTAATAAAGTGTGCAATTAATGTGCAAATAAGAGCACTTATTCATTTTTTTCTGCTGTTAAGGTTCCTTGCCAGCGTTCCTATGGTTGGAATTTTTTAGTGTAATAAAATTTCAACAAACTTCATAATCTGATGCAATTCTAATCTATTGCTGATGCATTAATCACATGAGATTACGATATAAATGTAAACAAAACTTGCCAACTATTCCGTCAATAAGATTTTATATTGCAAAAATTTAATATTCAATCATATATATATATAATTAATTTGTTTGACTTATTTTAATATTAAATATTAAAAATATATTAAAAAGTAATATTAATTATAATAAAAAATATCTAGAAATAAAATGTAATATTTGGATTAGATGAATTTACAAAATTCAAAGGTTGGTAGAACTTTTCGTTATCTGACATTCCTGATTGTCACTACTACGACGCTCAAATTTTTCTAGTAAAGGTTATGTTTGACGTAAGCATAATATATAATTTTTCAATTGAGCTTTTCTTAGAAAAAGAAAAGTAAAAATTAAAGAGAATTAAAGAAAACGAATAAAAGTTGGATATTGTGAATTTTACACGTGCGAGGATGTGTCTAGTACGATAAGTACACGTTTTTATTTTTTTAAACAATATTTTCCTTGTTCCGATAATATACCGTAAAAAGAATTTTAAGTAAACGATGGAAGACTCTTTCCGTATAATTTATGCACTTTGCATTATTTTTATTCGATTTCCATTATATTATCTTGCCCCGGTACAAAATAACTTCAATATGTACAATGACACAAATTTATGTAATACTTCAATCAAAGATTTTTTGTACAAGTCGGAATACACTAAGGAATGTAATTCATTTAAGTATCATGAAGAATTAGGTAAGCATAGTGTTACCCTAGATAATGCAAAAGAATTTTTGTGTCTTGGAATATACGACACCGCGTACAAACTCTGTCAATACGAAGAAATCGAACGATGGGATAAAATCTTTCCTGATCAGAAACAATTTGACTTGAAAATTGGAGATTTAGTAAAAATTTACCAAACAAATGGATCCACTACGAATTCCATAAATTTTTGTAATGATTTAATAGGATATACACCTAAGTATGATAAATTAAAACCAATACTTTCTAAATTGATGGCTAAATTTGAGACACCGCAACTATGCTTTAGTATATGCTTCGATTTAGAAAGTAAACTAAGGACTCCTTTGTGTGCGATATTGGCATGGATTAACAAAATAGATCAAGATATTACTGAGAAACTTAAAAATGATTCTAATAAAGTCAATGGAGTTGATAAAAAAAATGAAAGTTTAAAAAATAAACAAGAGAATCATAAAGATCAGCAAATTATGCAACACGAAACAGCAGACAATCGCAAACATTTGGAAAACAAAAGAAAAGAAAACAAAATAACAGAAAACAAAATTCACAATAGCGAAACATCTGCTGCTTCTATTATCTCCATAAATAATGTGAAAAAAGATAATATTACTAATAATAGTAATAATAATAAACAATTGCCATTAAGTAAAGAGAATCGAACAAAAACAAGTGATGAATCAAATTTGATAAAATCTGATCCTACGATTAAGACAACTCTGCAATCAACATTTAATACTGTAATAAACAAAAATAATGAGTCTCAGGATAAGCTAACTGCTTTGTTAAATGAGGCCGATAAAAAGCTGGTAGATGATAATAATAACAGCCAAGAACCACCTCCGAATCTTGAAGAAGATGACTCTAAGAGTATAAAGAAAGACAAAGTAGATCCAGAGAAAGATTCGATAACTGAAAAATATGTAACACAAGCAGTTACAGAAACTAAATCTACAGAAGCTTTTGATAATGCAAAAATCATTAGTACTACAGAATCTATTGTTGCAGTAGATAATAATTTGAGTGGATCTGACCCTCAGAAGAATGGTAATTATTATTATTATTAATATTGACGTTTATATCAATAATTATAAGTTAACACTTTGTCGTCCACTAGTATCGGAAACAAATCTATCATACAATTGTTAGACGACAAAGTTCTGATAAAATTTTTCATTATATTACCTATTTTTGTTTTTGTTTTTTAGTTCCGACAGAGGGCATAAGCCAACCTGGTAGCGTAGGTAAGATGAAAGTATACTTTAATAAATAATACATGAATTATAATATATAATTAATTTTTTTCATAGACAATCCAAGCGAAAGTATATCTGAGCCATCCAAACAAAGAGCTCATTTTGAGAACGACGAAGAGTCCCACTTTCTTTTTTATTTTGCCGTCATATCAATTGGTTTTATTGGTGGCTATACTGGATATCATAATAAGAAAAAGGTATGCACATAGTTAATCAATTTTATATTTAATTCTTTCGATACAATAATACATTTATTTTTCGTTTTGGTATATTTCATTTTGTAGTTACTGGCGATTGTGTTGAAAGGACGTAGGTCAAAAAATAATCGTGGTAGACGACGTTCTAGTAGTCCCAAATATCGTAAACTCGATTGCACATTAGAAGAAGCAGTTACCTCGCAGTGTAATGCAAATGTCACCCATGTTATATATTAATACGAATGGTATGTAAAATAATCTATCACATTGCATATTAAGGCACCATTTTCGGTATGATAGATTTTTTACTCAAGCATCTTCCTTTTATTTTTTTTTTTCTTTTTTTTTCTTTTTAAATATTCTTACTGTTTCACAATGAGACAGGTAATTATGGTGAGGGATCACAGTTTTCTTTTTTTTTTTTTTTCTTTTCTCACAATGTAATATAATAATATTTATAAAATAATATATCAATTTTGCGATCGTATGTACATTGTGTCTCATCGAAACTAATGTAGCAGAATGTTCCTATTTAATATTATTATGATGCAAAAGTATTTTAGCTAATCGGGTGTTTCTATTTGAACAAAAACAAAAAGACAAAAAAAAAAAAAAAGAACAATCTTTTTGTATAAAATTTATTTTCATTTAATCTTACGCATCGAAATTGCTATGATACAATTTTGTACTTTTTCGAGTATTGGGTTTTGTAGATATCAAATGTTTGCTTAAACGTATGTTTTATTTGAGACATTAGGGGTCTCAATGTCGGACTATAGTAGGCAATATAGTCCAATTCTACTTAAAGTGCAATTCCATGTCTCTGTGTCGGCAAAATTTTTAATATATAAGATTACCAAACAATATAGCACTAGAAGGATCATTATTTTCTGTATATATTGAACGATGCATGATAACAGAATATCAATGTTATCCGCCATGTTTACGATATATTAGGCATATTAAAGAGAACAAAAACAAAATTGCATAACATTTGATCAAATAATATTTTATGGAATATATTAAATAGTAGTATCGTAGAGAAAATATTTGTCTAGAGAGAAAAATTGAGTTTAAATAGCTTAAATGATGATATCGATATATATTTGCGTATATTGTTGTAAAATTATTTGCGTATAATTGATGTAAAAAATGATAGTAAAAGAGAAAATATTTCTATTGTTTCCTTAATTAATATATAATGTTTTGATGGACAAATTTTCACGTTTATATGTCTATTCTTGATGGTAGTAAAGTTATTTAGTTCGTAGTAAAGTCTCCCTTTTTCAATACGGTGTAATATCAGTGATTTCATTTCTTTTGAAAAAAAGAATGCCGTCCACTTACACACGATTAAAACATACGAAAATAATATCACTGTCGCATAATACCTGTGTGTTAAGTGTCTAATGACAGTTTGACCATTCATATTATATGCACAAATTGTTACGTGGATACTTACGATGATATAATGTATTTTAATCATAGTTACAGTTTCTGTGAAATGTTCCCAAAATAAACTTACACATACTTTAATCCACTTTAGTATAAGTGAATATTCAAAAAAAGGTATTTATTTTTTATTTCTAATAATTATTATTCTCCAAATAATTAATTATCAACCAAGATGAATGTTAAGAAGAAATAATTCCATAATATCATTGTTTGTAGTTATTTTATACGATTATAATTATTATAAGTTACATAAAATCTGTATACATGACTATTTACATATATTATTACTGTTTATTGTAACAGTATTATTATATTTATATGATACCTTGGTAGTTATTTTTTACCGTTTAAGAATATGTCTAGATGAATATTTATATAGATTATTAATTAACAAATTTCTATTTGAATAAATGATGAATGTACATTTATTTTGATTAAACCATCGACAAAGTGGATTCCTACGTGCTGGCTTTATTCTTCGCAGATAGCAATTATTAATGATTATTTGCTATGGTAAGCACAAATTGTTAACAACAATAATTCAATTTTAAAATTAAATGGTATAGCTAAAAATCATCTGTTTTTTTCGGTTGTAATTTCAACGTTAAAATTGATATTATAATTCAATAGTTATTTATGTTTCAATCGTCTAAACAATAAACTGCATCAGCAGTATGTTGTTTTATCCAACTTAAATAATCCGTAATTTTCACATATATACCAGGTACACCTTTATTAGCACAACCTAATCCCCAAGAAACTATACCTAAATTAAATATTTCATTTATTTTAATTTCAATTTATATGAGAAATTAAATTATATACAATTTTTCTTACCGATTATTTCATACTTCGCAATTGTTTTTTCGATAAAAATTGGCCCACCACTGTCACCCTATAATTGTAAGATTGTTTTGTTTTTTATGACGAATGTATGCATTCATTTTCATAAAAAATATACATATCTAACGTATCTAAAAAAATACTAAACCTGACAGGCATCGGTATTATCTTTGTAGGCGCACATTACGGAATTTGTTAAGTAATTTCCAATAGAAGTGTTTTTACAAGAATTCAATGACAGTATAATTAAATTAGTTTCACGAAGAAACTTAGAAGTTGTTCCATTAACAGCAACTATTCCCCAGCCTGTTACTTTGGCTGTTTTACCACTGTAATCATCATCTATAACAAAAAATAATGTTATTGTTAATACTAAACTTATATCAAACTTAAAATCAAATCTTTTTACATCGATCTAAATAAATATTTAAACAAATCATAAGTTTCAAAAGTAAATCTTATTAATTATATTAAAATATAATTAAATGTTTCTTTTTTTTTTAAATATCTGTCAAATTAATAGATATCCAAACAAGTTAAAAATATTTTAAAATATAAATAAAAAAAAATATATTTTACCTTTATTGGGAAGGCAGATAGGTTGCAAATGATTGTCGTATTCAACTGGCTCTTGTAATTTGATCAATGCGATATCATTAGTATCATGTATAACTTTACTCGTAAAATTTTCATGTAAAATTGTTTTGCTGATAGCTACAACGTATCCATCTTCTAGATCACTTACATCGTGAATTCCTAATCCTACAGTAATATCGTTTGCCTTTGTCCTATTGGAATTAAATTGATGAATTTCAATTGAAAATAAAATTGATAATAAAATGAGGAAAATTGATTAACCATCTAACACAATGGCCAGCTGTTAACACGTATCGATCATTTATCAATGCACCGCCGCAATGAATAGCTCCTCTCTTAAATAAAATAACGATCCATGGAAAATCATGTGGCTTTGAAATCTTTCCACCTATTATACGATTAGACAAACCCATGGATGATAGGCCGCAATCTGACATTGTTAATAAAAAATGGGATATAATACAGTTATTTATGAACATTTTTAGAGATGATTTTAAAAAAAAATTAAATATGTTTAGACCAAAAATAAAAGTAGAGTAAATACAAAACAATTTTTATGATATATACATTTGAAAGAAAATATAAAAAGTAATGGCTTTTTTTTGTTATAAGAAAAAAATTAAAAGTTTATACAAATTTTTTATTTATTTAGAGATTCTTTAAAAAACAAGGGAACAATTAAAAATACATTATTATGCTATGTAAATTATGTAAAGAATTTTTAAAATATCGCTTTTTTTCGTATTAAAAATTTTAAGTTTCGAATGAAGATTTATTTTTTTATTCATCGAAAAAATATATATTTTGCTTGGTCTAAAAAATATTATAAGTATTTTAACGTGACATATGTAAAATATATGTGAAAAGAAGTTTAAATATCAAAAAACATTTACCACAATCCGAATCAATGTTCGATTGAATTACTTTTGCCTGAAAAATATAATTTCGAATAATGAGTAAATTCTAATCAAAATGATTCGATATATATGATCTTAAAGTTTACTAACTTTGCAAACTACATTAATTACAAGTAAAATTGTAAGTCCTAATAGGCTCACTGATAATAATTTCATCCCTTGTACTTTCTTCTGTGTTTAAACAACAACAAAAAACACCCGTTCGTTTTGAAGCGAATTCATAAACTAGTTAACAAAGTTCTATGACAATAATCGATACGTTGATTCGTATCGAATCGAAAGATAAAAAAATAATTACGTGCCGTATTCGTTTATGTAGTAGTAATTGCATTTATAACTTTGAAGAATTAACTGGTGTATTAAATTGGTCCAAGTAACGTACATGTAATTGTTCATTTGTTTATATTTATTAAATATAATTTTATATAAAAATATTTTCTAAACAAATAAATAAACTCCTGACACTCTCTTTATATATCAAATTTTGATATTATTATAATTATGATTTATTACAAATTAACGAAGCAGGGGTAACGAGTTAATAAATAATAAACAAAATATCATTAATAAAAAACAATGTGTGTGCTCCTTCTATTCGTTTTCGTGATTATTTGGATCCATTTTACTTGTTGTTGTCTTTGAATGCATTAAAGTGAAAAATAAATGACTGGTTAAACTCGTATAGCGGGATCATCTGGGCCCGCATCTTGACAATTACCGTACTGAGACGACAAATGCAGTTTATTTGTGTTCGTAAATCCGTTCACGATGCAGATTTGCAACTGTAGGACAGATCTCATTTTTCCTTTTACTCGTCACATGAGTGACGCTCAACGTAGTTAGTAACCGGTTCCATCAAATGGTCCCGTTAGTTCATTTCTGTGACTGGTTCAGCATTTAAAGTATAAAAAAGGATCAGTTCGATGGTACAATTTAAAAAAAATAGAATTTTTTACAATATACCGTTTATAATTATTCATTTTATTACGTATATTTTTATAATATATATATACACATATGCATATAAAAAAGAAACTTAATAATTACAATTCTTAACCACACTTGTATTTATCATTCCGTAAGAATGAAGTCGAATAAAATAACGCAAAGTGTTAATATATATGACACGAGTGAATTTTATATTTATAAATTATGAATATCGTAAAAAAACAATTGAAGAGTATAAATACATAAATAACATTTTTCAATGAATTGAATCCTATTATACTCACAATATCAGTTTCATATATAAAACAAATAAGTTTTCGAATAAATATATAATTCGAATTGAACAATAAGATAAATGGAATAATTAGAAGTTAACGATAAGTTAAAGAAAATGATGTGTTTAATTGTTGTCGCAAAAGCAACCATCTTTCGAATTATTTAAGATCCAATCTAAATAATTGGTAATTCTGGTATAAACACCAGGGTACCCTGGTCGTGCACATCCATTTCCCCAGGAGACGATGCCGATAATTTCGTATCTTTTATCTTCTCGTTCGGTTATCAGTGGTCCACCACTATCACCCTATAATAATATGATAATAATAATAAATAATAATATGATAAAGACATACACACGTAGAGAACGTTTCATATTTCTCATAGATGATTATAAGATACCTTTGTTGTTTGTATTAAAATTCACGTTAATTATTACCTGACAAGAATCTTTCTTTCCATCTGGATATCCCGCGCATAACATGTTATCAGAGATCATGCGAGGACTGTAACTGGTATTTCGACAATCCTGCAAGCTCATAACCGGAACTTCGACTTTTTGAAGTAAACAGGATGGCTTACCTTCTTCTTGTAGTGTACCCCAACCAGCTGCAATTGCCTTCGATCCAATGTATTCGTTTTCTGAATCAATCAAAACCATAATTTTTATCAACTTACTTAACTTTCTCTCCTCGACTATAATAATACGATAAATGAAACCAACAGATGTGGATTATTGTCGAGGATCGAATAAAATGATATATTTCAATATGAATTCGTCAATGAAGGATCTCGTAACTAAATTCGATTACATCCTATCGTAATCTTTTATTACGCAGTTGTGTAAGTTTATTCGATCGAGAAAGGTACCCGTATACCGACAAATTTATGCGTATTGCATATTATGCACCGCAATCTTCAGTGCAATATCCAACCAAGTGACGATCAAACAAGTTGCGCGTTTGCAGAATTTGCGCAACAATCGATCACTTAAGATTTTCATTGCGAAATTAGGTAACTTTTGTTTTTTTCAAAATCATATTAAATTATATTTATAACTAGCTTCATACTTCATATCGAGACAACCCTAAGAAATTTGATAAATTTAACATAATTTGTGCATGTGAGTGACACTCATTCGATAGTTACCGTCCCTTTGAGTTAACTTAAAAATCATTTATTCACCTTTTTTATTTGGTAGACATATCGGACGTATCGTATCACCGAACGGAACTCTGTCGTTAAGTTGAAGAAGTGCTATGTCATTATCAAAGTTGAGGAAACTGAAATCCCCGGTTAATACTCGAACGACGTATCTTGTTTCAAGACTTTTATCGATACACCTGTCGTGTTCACCGAACGTAACCTTGATCATGAACCACATAAACCTGAAAAGAAAACTGAAAGGATTGATCAAATCTGATAAGGAAATAAAATAAATCGATGTCATTCTTTTTATCAGATCAAATTTTTCCCCATGTTGAAACGTGTTTGAAATGCGTTTATTATCATGTGATTGTACTTACCCCTTAACGCAATGTGCTGCGGTTAATACGTAACGATCATTAATCAGACTACCACCGCAATAAAATTTATTTAAATAGGATAATCTAACCATCCATGGTAATTCGTTCATTCGCGTTGTTTGACCACCCACGATACGACTCTCATCATTTTGTAATCCACACGCTAAATCCAAAAATAAGTAATAACAAACAGAAACAATATAAACACACTTACAATTTGTATTTAGTAAAAATTTATACTTAGTACAAAATTTTCATAATAATTAACAAAAGAGAGAGAGAGAGAGAACAAAAAATAATATATTACTAACAGCAGTAACACGGTGCAGGTGGTTCTTTAAGGTTTGGTGGTTTGTTGCCGAAAAGACCAAAAAAGTTTTTTATATTCTCGCCGATTTGTCTCGCCTAAAATTATTTCAAATAGAAAATTTCAATCTATCGCGCGAAAATAATATTAATTTTATATATATAAAACAAAACAAAATATTTTGTTGGTTTTTTGTTGTTGTTAAATTGATAATACGCTTACCTGACATTCCTTTCGAATTAAAAGAATTGCGATGAATCCAAGACACCAAAGATACTTTTTCATTTTTTCTAAACAAATTTTTATTATTTCTTTCTATTTTTTTGTTTTTTTGTTTTTTAATTAGACAAATTTCGATTGAAAAAAGATGATATTGATTTTGTTTGATGAAATAATAGAAGGTCACCGTGCGGGGACCGTCATGAAAAAGTCACGGATATGTCCCTGACACGGAGTTACTATCGCCAGTGTCCCAGGTAGACTGAGAAACACCGAGGTCGAAGAAGTAATTGGTATTCGGGCGGGGAAGGAGGCCGATCACGAACTGGTCGCCGACCGGACGACAAATGATCAGTTCACGTTCATGTTCATGGTCGAATCACTAAAAATTCTTATTGATCAATCCAATTAATTCTACGCAAAATTCGGTATACACAATTCAAACAATTATTACCACAAACATTGAATATATTTTATTGTTGTTTAAAGTAAAACAATTTATATCGAACGCAAAAATTACTTTGATCGGTTTTACATTATTTTGCATTTCATATATAAATATATACAAATAATAATTTTGTTTATATTAATTAATTTCAAGCTCTTATAATTAGTCAGGTATATTTTTTATATAAATCATAAAAAATTAATATTAACAATAATGTATTTATAAAAACTATACAAAATTATTCAAATTATATTATTTTTATAACTGAACAATATAAAATTATATATTTCGTATTATTATATGTGTAATTATTTTATATATATATATATACACACACACCACACATACACACATATACAGAAATACACGCATATATTTATTTAGCTATAAAATGCCAAATTTATTCGACAATCTCAGATAGTAATAAACTTTTTTACCTGTTCATTCTCCGAAATTGCTTATAAACAGGCTTACGAGTGGGTTGGATCTCTCTCGGGAAGTATACTTCATCGAGGCAACCCAAAAAGCTGCCTCGAAAGGACGTACACATTATGCAGATTTCTGCTCGTGGAACCGAAGGAAGTTGTTTACGCGAATTCTTTTTGATCTCACTGTATGCGCATGCATACATAAATACTTCCCTACGTGATTTGGTACCGTTTGCAAGGTAAGAGTTATTTAATACGAATATGTTTTAACAATTTTCCATCATAGTTTATATAACAAAATAATCTATTTTATTATTATTACAATTCCTATCTAAAATTATTATTATATTAAACCCTAAAACTAGAATAAAGTTGAAAATAATTATCAAATTTTAGAAATAATTTCATATCACTGTTAATTATTTTTAACATCATTATATTTAACGATATATACTAACACACTTTTTATTTTTATTTATTTATTTATTATCATTTTAATCGATACTGAACGATAAGTATTCCGATTCGACAATAAACCGTTATACTCGACAATATTATTCCAGGAACGTTTGAGTATTGTACCGTACGATTCTAACGTGTAAAATCCACACAGACACACTTTTGAAAACGGTCGTATTTTAATTCACGACAGATATAAATTTGTGTCATTGTATCATCTTGAAACTTTCTCGGTTTTAACTGTCGTTTCTATTTCATAGAAATGGAAACTCCCAAATGTTCGGTCATTTGAAATGAAGTAATGTAGTCAAATGAAATGGAAGTAGAACGTTAATTAACACAGAGACAGCTTTCCTTTATATTTGCGTTGATCCAATTCAAATATCTTGCAACTCGAGTATAAACTCCTGGATAACCAGGCCTACCACAACCAACTCCCCACGAAACTATACCTAAAAAGAAATGATTTCATAATAAATTGATAATAAATCAAAAAATTAGCCTACAAGTGATCTCACAATTTTTCGTATTTTATATTTAAATAAGCTTGTGACACTGTGTGATTTTTTATTATAAATTTAATATGGGACAAGCTATAATAGTTTGAAATTTTTATTTAAAAATGTAAGATTTTTTAAGAATAAAACTTACCTGCTATTTCTAATTTATCACCTTCGTATACGAGAAGTGGCCCACCACTATCACCTTGACAAGAATCTTGAGTACCTTTACCAGCGCAAATCATGTTATTTGTGATTCTATTCGCTCGATATTTCATTTTTCGACACTGTGTCAAACTCCATACAGGTACTTGCACTTCGTGAACCTTTCCTGGTAACATTCCTCCTTCCGATGTTCGTCCCCATCCAATGACAGTTCCTTCTTTGCCAGCTGGATCAGAATCTGAATAAATATAAGGAATTTTAAATAACTGTTACATAAATAATTATCTTGTTTAACACGTTAATAACACTGTTATTGCATATAACATAAATATGTATTAAATAAAAATCTAAATATTGAAAAATAAATTAATATATTTACGTTAATAAATAAATATTTGATTAATTTTTAATAACACTTACACTGTTCACACAAAAAAAAAAGACATAATTATATTAATAATTATTAATTTAATTAATTTCTATTAGACAAAAGTAATTTATAAAAAAAAAATATCTTATTTTACAATATCAATGTTTCATAACGTTTTAATATATTATAAATAAAATCAGAGATACCAGCTTGAGGTAGACACACAGGTCTAACAGTTTTCGTAAATTTGACAGGTTTACGAAGTTTAAGCAAAGCCACATCGTGATTAAAAGAATTCATATCGAAATTTCGATGACGTATAACTGCACTAATTGCTCTCATTGTTGCAACACCATCTGTATTTACATATTGATCATAATCACCGAGTATTACACGAATTTTCGTTCGTTTCAAACTGAAAGGAAAAACAAAACAACGCGAATATAAAATTGTACGTTTTTTTTTTTCATTTTTTTTTGCTCTTATTGATTAATCATTTATTTAAATACATACTTTCTTACACAATGAGCAGCTGTAATAACGTAATCATTATTAATTAGACTCGCACCACAATGAAAACGTCCATCATAAACCAAACGAGCTACCCATGGATATCTGTTTGGTATTGTTGGTCTTCCACCAACTATACGATTTTCTTGATTTGTTATACCACACTCTGATCAAACAAATTATTTAACAATTTTATATTAAAAGCATATAATTTAATTTTGATTTACAACAACAACAAAAAAAAACAAAATAAATATTTTAATTTATCATTCCGTGAGATAAATTAATTATTACTCAACGAATAAAATTCAATTTTGTTAATACTCTTCTTCTTTTTTTTTTTTTCTTTTAATGCATTGTTGCATTCTCTCGCGATTAAAAAAAAAAATAATTATATATATTTATTTAATATAAAAATATATTTATATAATAATAATTTACCGCACGTGCAATTTCGTGTAATTTCATCGTCATCGACGCCTGCGGTGATATCAATGCCAAATAAATCATCGAACAGGAACTTTCCGGTACGAATAGAAGATCGCTGAAAAAAATAATTACGAGGTGATATCTATGCGGGAAGTACGCTCACTTTTCAAAGTAAATTATTAACAGGAACGTGCCAGACAGGGGAAAGTGACAATGATTCGAATTGTGGGTCAAGGTCTTCCTCGTAAAATCGACATTCACGTAGCTAAGCAAAGGTTTTATCCATCCGAGTATTACGTGTGTACGTATCATTTGTCATAGTTCGGTTAATTAATATCCCAATCATGTTTAATGTATGTTCAAAATATTTCATTTATAAGATCCGATTAAAAAATTGGATATCCATTAAAAAAGAAACAATATACTCACGGTTTTGTTCCACGTCAAAGGTTCAAGGTCAAAACTTTGTACGTATACTCCTTGCAGTTTGATAAAAAGGAGAATGAAAATCTTGAGCTTGAACAAACGCAAGTTCATCTTTCGTAGCACCAAATATTCTTTCGAATATAATCGATTTATTTTTCATTGATAATACACGTATAACACAAACATTAATTTCACGTATGAAGATCCGACGTTGTCTCTCGTATTTGTCTTTTGATATCTGATCAAACACAGAGAATTGAAGTGATATGTAAATTAGAAAAATAATCCTTTGAAGTATCACGAAAGATAAGCAAAACTTTGTAAGATTTGCAATGATCATCGAGCTCTTCTGATGCATACGCTTTCACCGTGGCACCAAAAAGACAGCAAACTGTTGGCCAATCAAGACTCAAGCCTTACTCTTTACGTTCACGAAGAAAGTTCCTCTTCCACTCTATCGATTTGTTGCCACTCTTCCGTCCATTTCATTCAGTATGCATCGTCGTAGTTGTCGTAGTCGAATGTTGTATTCAATTTCTTGTTATTTCATTTGCAAATTTCGTCACTTTCATAAAACTATTTATTTTTCGAATAAAACGTTTGTTATTGTCAAGCATTGTTGTTCCAATCTCAATCGAATTTCTCTTTCTTCTTTGGTTACTTTTCTTCAACTTTTTTTTTTCATAAGATTTTACTTTCCATTGAACTAAATTCGAAATTATCAGAAACAGTCTTCTAAGTTTTTTGTTTTTACCATCAATAAAACTCGACTCTTGCACTGAACTAGACTAGACGAGTACTAATCGTTACAGGTTCGTCTCATACACGAATACATGAAGCATAGTCACTCTCTCTACTACTATTTCCCACCATGATACACTACCATACATACCTTAGGATTCATGCTATCGAGTTTGTTAAACCCCACTCTCGAAATTCGAGTTCACACTCCGTGTACTACTTTTGATTAATTTCTCTTTCACGAGTGATACTTTTGAAATAATTTCGTTGATTTTAACGTTTTGAATTTTTCTATCCAAATATTAAATTTAATTTCTTATAAATATATTCTTGTGTTGTTTCAATAAATCACGAATAAAGTTCAAAGACATTTATATTGCATGGAATAATTACGAATTTGATGAAATCATTTGTTGCGTGTCGAGAGAGAATCGTTGAAAATGATTGCGTGCTTATTATTACGTTCGATAATTGATCATAGACATCGAGGGGGGAATCTCCCCATTCAGAAGAATCTCGAGTTTGTCGTCAACGGTTCGATGGTTTCACTAACCCACATTTTATCGTTGAAAGCAAAACGTTTCAGACTAGTGACCCGGTTTTCGTTATTGTCGCCTTCGCGTACCTTTAAAAATATTTCTTCCGCTACTTTACGGTTGTTTCTTATCTTAAAAATATCAAGAAAAATGTATAATCAATAATATATATTTCACACACTTTACTTATGTTTATTTTTTAATAAATAAAATATATTAATCCTCAATGAAACAAGGCGTCACATATCTCTATTACCTAAATATAATATTATATTAATAAATTTATATATTATATAATAATTCGACTAGATTTGTATAGTTACATAAGCGTTACTTAATTAATTCAAAATAACAATATTAACAAATTCTACGTTTTTTTAACGTCTACTTTTGTTTCCTTATTTTTCTTTTTCATTTTTTTTTTTTGAGATCAGAACGACAAGACTCTTCTATTACGTGAACTGTCTTATCAAACGTTGTTAGATTATTTTTCACGTTTGAAGAGTACGCGGTGGTGGACATACGCATTCGTTATCAAGATGATCCTTCAACCAACCCATGTAATTGTTTAATCTCGTATATATTCCAGGAAAATTCGGTCTTGCGCAACCACGACCCCAAGATATTATACCTAAATAATTACATATAAATGAATATAAATATATTATTCATATATTATTTAATATTAAAATATTTGTTGACTTACCTATTACTTCCAAATGGCCGTATGATCCTTTCACGTGAAGTGGACCACCACTGTCGCCCTTTTAATGTGTGTGAATAATTTGATTAATATTAATATAAAAATGATTTACAAAACGTATCATGTATTGTATAAATATAATTTATATTAAATTAACTTACAAAACATGCGTCACGTTGTCCATCGAGGTATCCAGCACAGAACATATTATCTGTAAGACGATTTTTTTGATACCCAGCTTGATCACATTCTTCCTGAGACAAGATCGGAACATTAACTTTACGTAATTTGTCGCTGATCGGTTTATTTTCACCAATACGTCCCCAGCCAACCACCGTAGCCGTTGCACCAGTATAATCTATAGCTTCTGTAATCGGAACACAGATAACTTGAAAAATTAATTCATTCAATTTAAAACATCGAACGTTTACTCACTGTCTTCTGGTAAACAGGCAGTTCGAACGATACCATCCAATGATACCGGACGATCCATTTCTATAATAGCGATATCATTGTCAAAAGTATACGTATGAAATTCTTCGTGAATAATTATTGATTTGATACGACGAACTATGGCTGTTGAAGCAAGTTTAGTTCGATCACTATCTGCTATCACCAACTTGATTGTCTTGATTTCGAATCTGACATTTGAACAAAAATCGTATGTAATTTTTTAATTTCGGTTTTGTTTAAAATCTTATATTTTTTTTTTAATTAATATATAATATTTAATCGTAAAAAAAATGTTATGTTTACCCTTCCAAGCAATGAGCAGCTGTAAGAATGTGTCTGCGGGTGATCAAACTTCCTGCACAATAAAATACACCCTGTTTGGTCATACTAACCAACCATGGATATTCAAAGACACTTGTCTCGTTACCACCTACTATTCTTGTTTTTCTACCGATCCCACAAACTGAAACACAACAACGAATGTTTTATTCATTAGATTTGTTCAGTAAGTAATTTTTGTTTTTTTTTTTTTCGATGATAAATAATAGCCAATTTTGGTCACATTTGAAATCCGAAATGTTTTAAAAATGATCGTGAACGGTTGAATTTGATAAATTCTAAAAAAGAAACAAATGTTATATATATATGCGATCAATATTAATAATTTATTATTATTATTTTTTGTAAAGTATGTATTGTAATTACCACAATCGTCACAAACGTTCGGTCTTTTTGATGGGATTCTATTTGATGGATCGTAGTCGATGTAAGATGTATCATCTATTGTTGATAGCCTACTATACCCAGTGTTCCTTCCATCAACATGCATTTGAACATTTGTTGTAGTAGCCAATGTGCTTCTACCATTCTGCAACATCTGTAACGTGACGAAACGATCTATCGCATAAATAATCAAATTAACATTTTATTTATTATCATTCATATTTCAATCGATAATTGTGTTATAATTTTAAACAATAAATTACAAGAAATTATTCTAATATAATTTATTTTAAAAGAAAACATTTATATATCGAAATATATTATTACTCACTTTCATAATCACATACATTTATTAAAAAATATTTATGAAGTTTTTAATTCGAAATGATGGCTGGTTAATAGCAACAAGTAGTTGTTATAAATAATATAAAAAAGACAAGGTGTGAGAGAAAGATAAAAACCTCGAATCATTTAAAAATACTAATGTATAATGAATGAAAAATAATAAGATAAAAAACGAAAGTGTTTAAGTTGACCCATAGGAGAAGTTACATTATAAAAAGATTAGGATTTAAGATTAAGATAGAACGAAAGGATGAAAGTAAAGTAGAAAAAGTAAAAACCAAAGAAAAAAAAAACAAAAAAAAGGATCACTTAAATCACTTACCACGCGTGGCAAAGCGTAAACGTAATAGTGCAGACAGAACAGGAGCATGATTTTGCATGGTATTTTCGCGTGACAATCCATAATTATTTTTCTAGATCTAGATTTAAATCTAATCTACATATATATATATATATATGTATGTGTGTGCTTGTGTAAATATATATATATATATATATATATATATATAAGTTTCTATGTGAAAAACGCCTGTTAAGCGTGAATTCGCGTTTCAAGATTCGCGTAAGGGCACGTAAGCTGTTGGCTGTATTTGCGTGCTTATGCCAGGTGTGAAAAGGTATTAAAGGTGTCGTCGAAGTTTTGCCGTTTTATACTAAATTATAACTAATGAAGCATGGCTGTAAGTGGGGATCGACAGCCTTGAATGCTGCGTTTGCATTGGCAGATGTTGCATGTGACAGCTTTTAAATCACCCGGCTCAACTGGTGCGGTGTCGTCTCACCTGTGTACTCATCCTCAACTCTCATACTTCGCTTATGAGACGCGAAAAAGGTTTCCACGTAGATGATATGTAAGTAAGTATGGTGTATTACTTACCTTCGTCTCATCATCGTGTTATGGCGCAATCGCATCTACCATCAACTACAATCGGCTAACAACCAATGTCAAATAATCACTTTTTCTTTTTCTTTTTCTTTTTTCTTATTCTTTTTCTCTTTTTCTTTTCTATTATTTTTTTCCATTCTTCTTTCTCAGGGATTTACACGAGACTGGATCAATGTCAATTTCGTCAGATACGACGCCAAGATCGCGAAAGTTAAACTCCGAGTTATTTCGATTCATTGACGACTGTGAAAATGTTCTTTCTTTTTTATTCTTTTTTCTTTATTTCGTGAATTATTTTATATATTTAATACACGGATATATATTTTTTGTATTAAATAATTATAAGTATATATTTTAGGAGTGAGATTTTTTATTTCATTTTTCTGATGTGTAGTTTAGTTATTATCGTGAATTGTTCTACATGTGTATTTAATTTAGGTATGTTTTCACTTTTTTTTGGATATTTATATTTATTTGCATTCTTGCATCTATTTTTTTTTATATATATTATATATCTGTAGTATTTTATTGTATTTGCTATATAGTAGAATGTTATTTTGAATTGTTTCTAGTATTTTAATAAAATATTTTCTGTTAACGACAGTTCTTATTAATTTAAAAATTAATTCGTACGATCACAATAAAGTAGATCATTAATTCGTAAACAGAAAAAATTCCATTAATTTTGTTGTCTAAAATATTAATAATTTATCAAATTACGTAGGTTGAGAACGACGACGATCAAGGAAGAGAGAGTGAACATTTGGAAATTTCCATCGAAGATAATTCTCTTTCTTATGGTGCAAATGAAATACCTACTTAAACATATTGTATAACTTTCCATATATGGAACTTCAGCACGCATCAGAGAGACATCTCGCGTGTACGTACGTACGTTCATTGCAGTGATTTCACTTTCACTTACAAATTATTTTCTTCCTTTGGGTTCTCGATAAACGAGTCGTGACGATGAATAACACGAGGAAGAAAACAAAATCGTTCATTTTGGATCTTGATTCGATTATCTCAGAAGATATATCTCTCTCGAAAGATATTATTTACGAAACTTTCTTGCTCGTTAAAACTGCGACACAATGAAATATAACAATGAAATTTTATGACAGTGAAAAGACATTAAGTTGACGATGATTTGGGTCGAGTTTCCCTTGCAACTAACGATTATTACTATCACAATTCATTCAATTCGAATTGAATTACTTTTCTGAATATGTAACACATATTCTCACGAACATAAATTTCCGTGCACGTGTCAGTCATGTATGAAATATTGAAAGTGAAAAGACAGTGGACACATAACTCAAATAAATGATTAATAAATTCACATATGAAGAGAAAATAATTTTTATACATTCATAACAGATAATAAAATAATTTATTTCTGTTTATTATTTATTAATTCGGTTTAATGGATAATTCCTTTAGAATTTTCTGGTTAGATCTGAAAAACAATTGTAGGCAAATTGATTTTGATGATTTTGAATTCTATAAAAATATGTTTTAGAAAATGTTCATAAATATTTGATCTTTGATATGATCAGATCTTATTAAGATGAATGTATTATAAATAAGGTGAGGCTCCCCTGATAAAATGGAAACGGCTAAACAATAAAAAAAAGGTGTATCACCCGCATGAGGGTGTTATGACCCACATACCTTGACCCACTGGCACGCGTTACAGGTGGGGCACAGTCATCCGTTCTGACGCATCTTATCTTAGGTACTTTGTTTAAACCAGAGTTCTGATAAGGTAGGTAGATTGTACGTAAGCTTTGACGACCTTCTTGGCTATCGAAGATTAACGAGCGAGAAAGGACGAAAGGCGTGCTCGTTTTAACGCTCGGTCGATCAATCTCCAAGTGATCGTTCCATTTCGTTTTGTTTCTTTCCTCGTGCTAATAAACGTAAATAAAAAAGAAAGAAAAGAAACAAAAAATTCGATGTAGAAGAAGAAAAAGAAGAAGAATTTATTAGTCGTTCTATTTCTATGGGAATCTAAATAATAATATTAACTAAAAAGAAAAAAGAAAAGTAGAGAAACTAGAAGGAATGAAATATTATCGTAGTCATCATCATCTGGGTCACTGGTCCTTAGATATGTTATGTTTTCTTTTTTTTTGTTCGTTTGTTTGTTTTTTATTTCTATCCGTCTCTTCCTCGTTTTACAATTAAAGAGAAATCATGGGACGGTAATCTTGAAGAGAGATTAAATTTTAATAATCTCAACCGGTCATAAATTTTCGATCGTATATAGATAATATATATCTGTCCGGTTAGTTCGCGTTAAATTAACATACGACTAGCCTAAATTTCTCACTCCTGCCACTCGTCCATCCACTATTCCGTATAAATAAAGTTGTGAGACGGAAGTCGAGTCTTGTGTGAAAGTCTGCGTTGTCGTGAACGCGTTAAACCATCGTCAGGTATATCGATTCGCGATTATAATTTAATACGGAAAATTTCATTCAAATTGTTCGTGGAATTGTATATAACGAAGTAACGTATACCGAAATAATAGTGATAGATTCGTTTGTGTGTGTGTGTTAGTTGGTGCGTGTTTTAATGGTGCAAGGGATAATAATGTACGTTAAGATTTTATTTGTTGTAATATTGTTAGGTGTATTCGTTAGGGCATCTGATAACGAGGTATGTAAAAATCTATTTATGCAAATATATCATTTTTATAAATTATCAATTCGCGTTTAATATTAATTTTACGAAATTATTATCATAGACGAGATCTAACGATAGATTCAACTTTACAACCAAGGATACAAATATTACCGATGATAAAGGATTTTTTGATTGGCTTTATGCATTAATTGGCAGACCGATACCAACCGCAACACCAATACCAGAAATAATTGAATCTCAGAAATGTCTTTCGTCCTGCGGTATGTAAAAATAATTACTTCCTTTTTTTTTCTTTTTTTAATTGTAAATTTTGTCGTCGTGCGTTATTAATATTGATATGAATGTATTTCATTATTTGATCAGGTGGAACAGTTTATCAATTTTTATAATAAAGAAAAAGAACAAAAAATTGTCGGTCGTTTATTTTAAAGTAATCAAATTACGACTTAAAAAGTAAAATAGAAAATTATTTATAGAATACTTCTGAACTATATTTCAATTTTAGATTCATCGAAATAGTCACCTCTTGATTTCAGTAGTTATCACTTCTGCGATCTTGTTTTGAAATAATTTGTTTTAAGAAATACTGAATTATAGATGCGATTCCCAAAAAATATGTGATCAATGTATTGAAAATAGAATTTTTGGATGAATAATACATTCGAATTGAACATAATTAATAACTTTTTGAACAAACAATTAATTTCTAATGTACATAATACTATGAACAACTGGATACGATATTAATTTAAATCAACCATATATCATTTTCTAATATTATTGATCAAATACGTAAAATATGAATTTCAATAATAATGTTATTTTTTTCAGTGTGTGGTTTGACAAACACACAGAACCGAATAGTGGGTGGTGTCGAAACGAAAGTAAACCAATATCCGTGGATGGCATTGTTAAAATATAAGAAACGTTTCTATTGCGGTGGATCTGTTATAAATTCAAGATACGTTTTAACAGCAGCTCACTGCGTTGACAGGTATGTTCCACGTCACTTCCTGGATCTAATCTATCCCAGATCTTAACTTTACTTTTCATAATTGATTTCATTGTACGATTTCTTTATAGATTTGATCCAAGTTTAATGTCCGTCGTTATTTTGGAACACGATCGAAATTCTACTACGGAAACCCAAATACAAGAATATAAAGTGGAACAAGTTATAAAACATAGTGGTTATTCATTCGTTAATTTTAACAATGATATAGCTTTAATCAAATTGAACAGAGTTATCACGTTTGAAGGTTTAATGAGACCTGTATGTTTACCGGACAAAGGTACATTTTTAAGATTTTAAACAAATACGTACAAGGTCTATATAAATATTTGTTAGAACTTAAATGTCCAATATTCGATGTACTATTTTATGTAATTTTATTTTTAATTATGCGGCTAACAGAATTTTTAATTATTATATTTAACTTTTAAAAATATTTAGTGGTACGTAATTTTGTGATCGTAAAAGTATTAATCATTTGCAATATTAAGATACGATTTTCTTTAGGAAAAACGTATTCTGATTCGATTGGTATTGTTACTGGATGGGGCGCTGTTGAAGAATCAGGATCCGTTTCAAATACCTTGCAAGAGGTTATGGTTCCTATTATCTCTAACAGTGTGTGCCGTTCATTGAACTATCCATCAAAAAGAATTACAGATAATATGATATGTGCTGGATACGCACAAGGAAACAAGGATTCTTGTCAAGTATATCAAAATTCTTTTGATTGATCATTCTAATCGATCATTGATAACAGATTTATTATATTAAAAATGTTTTAGGGTGATAGCGGAGGTCCGTTACATGTTCTTAACGATACTGTTCATCAAATCGTTGGTAAGAATCATGTTGAATTTTATTACACATCTAATTATTCAGATTGTTTATTCAATTAATTTTGTCATACATTATTAAGGTATAGTATCATGGGGTGAAGGATGTGCGAAACCCAAATATCCAGGAGTTTACACTCGAGTAAATCGATACCTTACATGGATTCAGCGTAACACTTTAGACGGTTGTTATTGCTGACATAGAAATATTAATGATCGAAAGAGACTGATCAAAATAATTTTAAATGATCCTAATATTTGCATACGTGATACTCGATAATACTGGACATGACGTTACAGTAAAACAAAACAGTGACAGAGATTATTTATTCATCTATTTATATTAGATTATTTTTTACATTTGTATACAAACATATCAATTATTTATTTTATTATAAAGAATGAAATATATTATTTTAAATAAATTATCGATTGTGTGTGTGTGTGTGAGTGAATCATATGTTGAAGATTAGTATAAAAAATGTTGATTTAAGGATAAGAAATGGAATTATGATCGAAACGGATCAGTTTGTTGAGTGAGTGTAACGGAGATAACATTCGTACAGGGGTTCTTATATATATATAGGAACTTTCACACATCCAAATAGTATGTAAAAGGAAGTTGTTGGGCGTGCGCGCGTTCGTGCCGGGACAGCAGTGGCTACGTAGTAATAAACATGGCAGCGGAGAGCAGCGAAGGTTTGCCAATATCTCCGTCCGAAAAATCGTTGACCGGTAGTTTAGTGTCTGATGAAAATGAAAAAATCGTATCCCGTTCACCGTCGAGTTATTCTATAAGAGAAGATAAATGGCCAGATTTGGTAGTGTCAAGACCTAAAAAATTGGACGCCTGGTGGTCGCCGAGACGTAAGTACAAACAACATACCAAACAAAATCGAACGATGCGAGCGCTATCTTCTTTTCTTACGATCATGCGCTGCCTAATTTGTCCAATTTCAGCGCGTTTATTTAAAATGATACAACCTAAAATTATCCTGCGTTTATTTGAAAAAAAAAAAAAACAACACAAATAACTACGGGCTTCTGTGCCGAAAGTTCGCCATCTTTTTTTTTTCTACAATTTGTATCTGGCGTAAAAAGTTGTTAAAATATTTTTCAAACATAACGCGTATCGTTCATATAATTACAATCAAATATTTATAATAATAATAATAATAATTTTTTGAGAGTGAACATTACTAATATTCATGATTAGGAAATTCGTTTGTAGTCTTATCGTTAAATAAGCGATAAGTTTAATTGAGGTCATTAACTTTGACCATGCATTGATGTCTTTACCGATTCGTTGGACCTCTCACAGTCACGTGTATTATCCGAGAATCGTCAAGAGATGTCGCCAGTAGTATTATCGTAAACTATCGATTATCATAGGTGGAGTCAACGTCGGCGGGAAAATCAATATCACCTACGCGCCGACTAATACGCCATTTCTATCGTCAAACGTTCTGGTATCGACTTATAACGTGTCGACATCAGCAAACGCGTTCGACAGTTTAAACGATTGTTTATTGTTCAACAGAGTACACATACATATACACAGACCCACGGTACCCAATTCTATAAAACGTTTTTAAACGGAGAGTTCGAAAAAAGGAAAACAGTTACGATGTTGTTACGATATTATCGAGAATTAAATAACATCGTTGTAATTATTCCCAAGGATTTTTCAACTCGATTACGCGCAACATTTGTTTAAATAAATTACGTTGATACGAGATAAAATCATATATTATACATTTTGTCTTAACTTGGAGCGATTTTAATCGACATACGATCGAAGAAGGAGACCAACAACAAAACATTCGGAAAGGTGACCGAAAAATCTTCTATTCGCCTGCATTGCGGATTAAAGTTCGTAATATCAAATCTTGGTCGGTTAGATTCGATCGATAAAGTGTCGTGGTCTTCATCGGTTGGAAGAGAAGGAGAGAAGAAGAAGAAAATAAAACAAAACAAAAATAAAAAGGCTAGGGTTTTTTTGGAAAGATCTTCTATGCGGCAAGAACCCCAAAGCGGCTTGAAAACGCGACCTCCGGTCGATCTCGGTGGTCTTCATCACGGCGGGGTCATGCTCGAGGAAGACATGGCCGGTGCCCAGGACACAATTTACCTTTGCAATTTTCGCGTGTCCGTTGACGGTGAATGGCTCTGTTTGAAGGAACTCCAGGACGTCGAGTTTTCTTTACAAGACTCGATACAACGTTCACCTTCCCCACCTTTACCTTTAAGTGGTATTGATCATCCTCATCGTCGTCGGCAACAACTGTTATCCGATCAGCGGGATTTTCGCGATGCATTGCCACCAACTCCTCCACCGCCGCCGCCATTGCGTCACGTCTCAAGCTTGTGTTTGTAATCTTCTGCTTCTTCTTTCTTTCTTTCTTTCCTTCCTTCCCGTTTTCCTAATTCCTTCTTACCACGTTTTTTTCATGATACTCCACGTCCTTACTTGATCCTTTCATCCTTCTTTACATATGTACCTCCCAGTGGTGTTCGTTAATTTAATATTTTGTTCGTTGTTTTTTTTTAATTTTACTTGAAAGTGATCAAGTTGTTTTCCTCTAATTGGATTTTATCAAAATATTATTTTCATTTAGAATATGATTCGCCACGTGGATTAATTTTTCTTATCGATTTCGTACGCTTTTATATGTTTCGTGTTTTTTCTGATTGTTGTTGGTATTTTCTTTACATGATCTCGCTTTCACGATATATCATCGTCTTCACATACCTTTTCCAACTCGAGTCACGCGAACACTCTCTTTTTACGTCAACGAATGCACTCTCTTTTTCGTCTACGCTTGCACGTACTTTTTTTCTGCATTTCGCATGAAATCGTATCTCGGATCGTACTTTTTCTTCTTTGTTTTTTTTCTCCTTTTTTTTTTTTTTAAATCGATTCGAATCGATCACGATTCTTATCTAAATTTTGTCGTCGTCTTCGTCAAAATTATTCAAATCTATTTCGCATTTCGCTTTTGCGCCTACGGCTTATCGCTTTTCTCAAAATAATTGCGAATCGAATATCACAATTGGCAAATTTTTGCGAATAAACGAATAAGAAAGAAAAAAAAAAAATAAATTGAAAGAAAGGGGAAAAGGTGGAAATATAAAAAAAAAAAAAAAAAAGAAAAAAGTAAAAACTCGTCGGGACATTGAAAATTGATGAAAGATGAAAACGGAAGTGGAATATTTTTGCAGCACGAGACCCGGTGATCATCGAAAGGAGTAATCTTGTAAACATTTCTAAATTGATCGTGAAAGAGCTCATCGAAACTTCATTGAAATATGGACGCATGCTCGATTCGGATCACATGCCTCTGCAACATTTCTTCATCGTTTTAGAACACGTACTCAGGCATGGTTTACGACCGAAGAAGGTAAAGGAGTTAATAAACAAAACAAAACAAAAAAAAAACATCGAAGTATTGATCGTATTGATCAATTAACGACGATTCAACTTCGATTGCAGGGTTTACTTGGACCCAAGAAGGAGCTTTGGGACATCCTTCAACTCGTGGAGAAATACTGTTCTGAAGCACAAGATATTACATCCAGTATTCGCGACTTGCCGACGGTTAGGTACCACGCGTTTCACTTGTTTCATTATATTTTTATCGAATATTCATAATTCGCGTCATTTCCCTATCATAGGAATTATGCATTGACGTTACAAAATTATAACGAGTTTAAATAATTTCAATTGTTCTGACATTATTTGTCATAGAAATGATGGATTTTTACTGACAATTATTTTGTTATTATGAATTAGAAAGATTCAATTTTATAATGTAAATTAAATGTATGGGGAAAACAATGGATTAATTGTTAATTAACATTTTATTGATTTTCAAAATATATTTTAATTGTTAACTATTATTTTTCTAATGTAAGTTTTCAATATAATTCTTAATTTATAAAAGTATAATATAAATGTTACAAAATTTCAAAAACATAAACTGCTAATGGGTACTTTGATTATTTACAATTATTTTAATTAAAATATCATAAAATTTTCTTACACATTAAAGTTTGTAAAGTAAAAATCCAGGGATCTATCTCGTGACTTCAATTTTTCAAACAGAATTAACAATGATAGTTTGCTTCGTTGTTAAAATCATTCGAATCATTGCATATTCCTATTTTTCGGTTCGACCATTATTCAGAGCATCATTATTTTCAGAACTGCCATGGGCCGGGCGCGTGCCTGGCTTCGTATGGCACTCATGCAAAAGAAGTTAGCTGACTACCTAAAGGTTTTAATCGATCACAAGGATGACATTTTGTCTGAATATTTCGAACCGGATGCTTTGATGATGAGCGAGGAAGCTATAGTGGTAATGGGCTTGTTAGTTGGTTTGAATGTGATCGATTGTAATTTCTGCGTAAAGGTTAGTTCATAAAAAAGATAAGAAAATCAAATGAAATGAAATGAAATGAAATGAAAATTATTCAATGAAACAATTCAAACTCGAATTAACATTTTCGCGATAGGAAGAAGATCTCGATTGTCAACAAGGTGTGATCGATTTTTCGTTATATTTGCGTAATAGCAATCACATACCTGGAGAATCACCTGATGACGAACTAGAAAATGACAACATGACAACTGTCCTCGATCAAAAGAATTACATCGAGGAACTTAATCGACATTTAAAGTAAACCTATTTATCTGTTAATTATTTACGATTATTTCTCTCACAAGGAGACCTTACGGTTGTGCCTTCATGGATTTTAACGAGATTTGGTATATTAGTAGTATACCTTTAGGGTGTTAACATGGTAAAGTATTTCATCCTAACGCGAAGCCAATTTTGAGAAAAAAGCTTTTAAAGTTTTGATTTTATTTTTTTGTATACATGTTTATATTATCTTAAATGCAACTATTTATCAAGTGGCGCGCTAGTCTAAGTAGTAGCGTACTCGCTTCTCGTGCTGCCAGTTTGCGTTCGATCTTTCATGGGGAAAGTTTTTTTTATAAAAAACACCAGAAGCGAGAACGCTACTACATACGCTAGCGCACCATTTGATAAATAGTTGCATCTAAAATAATATAAACATGTATACAAAAAATTCCAAACTTTAAAAGCATTTTTCTCAAAATTGGCTTCGCATTTTGATAAAATACTTTACCACGATAACACCCTAAAGGTAGGTACACTACTAATATACTAAAGCTCGTTAAAATCCGTGAGGACACAACTGTGAGGTCTCCTTGTCAATTATCAACCAGAGAAATTATTAAACAAATGACGATGACACGTATTTTTAGTGCAACCGTGACGAATCTCCAAGCGAAACTTGAATCTCTAACTACGACGAATGCATTAATGAAAGAAGATTTGTCTATCGCAAAGAATAATTTTCTATCGTTGCAAGAAGAGAATAGGCAACTTAAGAAAGAATTAGGCATAGAAATAAAAGATGCTAATGAGGTATACTACTTTTGGTTTTTTTTTCTTCTTTCTTTAAATCGTTGATGAAGATTTAGTTTTATTTTCTTTTTTTCGTTTTGTTTCGAAAATTAGTAGAATTAGTTCATTGATGTATTATTTTAGAACGGCAAGGCTCCTATTAAAATAACGGAAACTACGACGGAAATCGAAGAACTTCGAAGTAGACTCGAATCGGAGAGAAAATTGCGACAGGACACGGAAAGGGAATTACAATTACAGGTTTATTATTATTTCATTATTATTTCATCGGAATAAAATGAATCGTCGATGATTGTTGTTAGTTGTATTAATTCGTATCGATGACAAAATAGATAAGTATGAAGTCCGAGATGGAGGTGGCGATGAAATTGTTAGAAAAAGACATCCACGAGAAGCAGGATACCATAATATCGCTTAGGCAACAACTCGATGACATCAAACTGATCAACTTGGAGATGTACAAAAAATTACAGGTGATTCGAAACCTTTTCTCAGAAGTGAAATTATTTCATTTACGTATTGACATAATTTTTTTTTTTACTAATCAATACCTAACTAATCTTACAACGTGAATTTAGAGAGAAATAATAGAAAACAACAAGAACAACAACAGAGCATCTTTTAACAATTCATTTATTAATCTCGTCATCGCGATCGTAGAGAAGAAAAAATTAGTGATATTACGTTTACGATGCAACACACACACACGCATACGAAGTTTTTCTTTCATTCTTTCTGTTCTTTCTTTTAATATATTTTGTTTTTCTTGATTCATTTTACAACGGAATAGTAATTCTTGGCAATGAGAGAGGGATAAGTAGAAACAACGAAAGTATCATTAAAAATATAAGATTAAGTTAGGCGTATAGAAACGGAACTGCTTTTGGGCAGTCTAATATTCTTTTTTTTAACTCACGTTTCAGATTTTATCAGGTACACAGGGAGTGATACGAGGGGCAAGCCCAAATACTCGTGGCAATTAGGTTCTTTTGTTGTTAATTTTCGTTCGTATAGTAAGAACAAAAAAAAGAAAAAGAGAAAAAAAGCATAAGAACGACAGGCTTGCATACACATATCTATTCTCTGTTTTTTTTGGATGTGTGTTTCTTCCCTTGTAGGAATGCGAGCACGAGCTGACGCAGAAAGGTGAGATGGTGAGCCGTCTACACGCGAAGACCAATCAAATCGGCAAGATATTGAATAATCTCGAGAAGTACAATCATCTGATGAAGGATGGAGACAATATACGTACACCGACTACCCCCTGTAACGCATCTAAATCGATATTAAATAAAAATAGTCCAACCTCGCCGAGAGGTTCGTCATACGGAACGGAAAATCATCAAAACGATCGAACGTCGTGTGATCATCATCAACGTAACGTAGATAATAAAAGACCGAAGGAATCATTTGAAAAATCTAAAAGAAGCAAATCCAACGACGACGTTGCCGTAACCAATGTTATCAATGACAAAAAAACATCTTAAAGGGATTTAACATTATTATTTGTTCCGTGGTCAATTTCTATTAGCGAATAGTCTAATTGTTAGAATGCAACAACAACAAACACAAAAATATCTCTTTTTCTACGACGTAAAACGTGATAATATTCAAATCGTTAACCTCATCGCAATTTTCGAGTAATTTTTTCGCATATTCAGCGAAAAAATATCGCTTTCCTATATGCGCTCCTTTCTACACGTTGATTCGCGCGTATTCTCATTGATTATCATAAATATATAATAATAGTAATAATATTAATAATAATAATAATTATATATCGTTCGACGTTCGATCGCGAGCATCGATTTCGAAAAGTTTGTACTTTTTCGAAAAAGGATTGAACAAATAACAAAAAAGAAATGCGAACTATGCGCCGAAAAATAAGAGAGAGAATTGAATTAACCTATTATAAAAGAAACTACTACACGTTCTCTGTTTACGCAGGCGCAGGATTATAAAGGACAATAATCCCGAGAATAATTTTCTCCGAGTCCCTATATTATCCTCGTATTTTTCAGAAAACGAAAACTCCAATTACTAAACGGCGATTCGATTTTCATTATCTTCTTTGCTGATTCTCGGAAATCGAATTTCTTCTTCTTCTTATTATTATTATTTATTTATTTATTTATTTTCGATCAGAGTACACATTTGCTTTGCAATATCTTTTCTTTTTCTTTTTTATATTGAAGAAGCATTTATTTCAGGAATGTGAAGCTTCCCTTAAGCATAAGACAGAACTGATCAAAAAATTGGAGGCTAAAACACTCTCGATGACCGAGACATTCCAGAAACTGGATGAACAGTACGTTTGTTTGTCTTTCATTAATATTAAGATTATTTAGGTACGACGCGAATTTATTCGGTTATCATTTCTCGTCGTGAATATTTTATTGATTAGATTTCTTTTATCTTTTTTCTTTTTTTTTTTTATTTAATATATATGTTATCGTTGATATTTGTTAACAAAACGAATTATTTTTATTAAATTATATATATCTTCGTTTATTCGTCATAAATATTTTTGTGATAGATAAAATTGAAATATTTATTATTAAAGTATCGCATTTTTTTTGGATTATATTAACTCGTTGTTTTATTATCGAATGGTCGATTTAGAACGATCGCACATTTGTGATTAATTGAACGGCTAAATAATTATAGAATATTTATTTTTTACTTAGAAATCGGGTTTAATAAGATTAATAGGTAACGTAGGTGAAAAAAGTATTACGCTACCGGTCGAATTCTCGTTATGGGGATATTGGCAAACCTTCACTAAACAACTACTCGATAAGACTTACCTCGGTGTATAACTTATAATTAGGATTATCGAAATATATATGAGACAAACACACATACAAACATAAAAATATATTATATAATAATAATAATAATATTAATAATATTAATAATAATGTTTTTCGCAATAATCTAGTAGATTTATACCCAATTAGGCGATTTCATTCGAGATCATAGTCAAAATATCATATCGTTCTATATAATTCATCAAACTAATTGTATTGTTCACGATTCAATCATTATTTGTCCCTTTTTCAATCAAAGGAAAATATGTGTTTTTGTATTTAAGGAACTGATTTTGCGTTTGGTTCTTTCGGTATTTTAATAATATCGATCGAGCAATAATAAAACAAAATTAAAATGAATATATGGTAACGTTTGTTGCTCGAAATTATGTATTGGCATTCGTGAAATCATCGAAATTGCATCGTTTTCTTTCGAGTAAAATATTTTCGATGATTGTTCGATATCAGAAATGGTAACACATTTATTGTATCATATAAGGCATCGATCTATGGGAGGTTGTCACGATGCACCAGAAAACTGCTAAGCGTGCGTGCTTGTATTAATACTGCGAAAACAAATAAAATCATCAAATAAAACACCATTTGAAGTTTGTTAATCCTTCGAAAAATTCGAGATCTGAATAAGATCAAATTTTACGTACTTTTTCTCGTTTTTTTGTTTTTTTTTCTCTGCATTTCGTTTAATTTTCTATCAAATTCAATTTGTTTCGTTTATATTCGAGATACGGAGATCGTTCGTTCAACGATTATAGAAGGTAAGTTAAGTATATTAAATATTAGTAATTAAATATACATAAAAAGAGAAAGAAAGAGAGAGAGAGAGAGAAACAAAGAGAAAAGTAAAAAAAGATAGAAATGAAATCAAAGTTTAAGTTAAGCTGATGGCTTTTATTCTTACCGCATGAATTCAATCGTTAATTCTTGAACAAAACGTTTGGACCTCCCATATAGCTTTAGGAAACAATACTTCCTTTTGAATAATTTTATAAAAGTAAAAGAGAGAGAAAGAGAGAGAGAGAGACAGACAGAGAGAGAGAGACAGAGAGAGGAAGAGAGAATTAGAGAATGAATTTGAATGAATAACTTTGAACGGAAGATTTGAAAACTTTCTCCTTTATTATTACATTCAATCTCTAAAATAATATCATGAGAAAATTATTGAAATAACAAGATTACAGACTCAAATTGAGTATCCCAAAAGCTTCCGGCCTCTCTCTCTCTCTCTCTCTCTCTCTCTCTCTGTCTCTATTCTGTCACGTTAATTCAGGCTCTTTCAATAGCACCGACCGATATGCAGAGAAGCGATTAGTTAGACTTAACCAGTTTTAGTGGGCCCCATTGTTTTAGATCGTGGCCAATTAAACGCGCAAGTTTAAGGAAAATCCCTCTAAATCGATGCAACTTCGTATTCCAATTTCACAGATATTGTTGGTGATAATATATATAGATATATACCATGGTGTTAAAGTGATATTTCAATCATGGTAAATAATATTATAACGAGAGAACGTTAAAAACCATTAACGAGTCGCAAAAACAGTTCCATGAATACAGTTTTGAAAGAAACAAAAAAATAACTTCACACAAAAAAGAAAAGGAAAGAATAATTTTCTTCTTTAATAACGGGGTGGGGGTGGGTGGGAGTTAGCGAGGGAGGAGGGTCAGATTTAAATTACTTTTACTTTTCATTCCGTGTTTCTCATTTATCGCTATTATTACATTTAAAATCATTACGCGTATTCATCGTCAAAATAATTACGTTTAGTTACACGTTACTTGTTCCTCTTTAAAAAAAAAAAAAATAAGAAAAAGAAGAGCCAATGCTTTTAAGAATTAAGGGTAAAACGATGTGACTTAATTAGGCGCAAGGAATTGGACGGAGTTAAAGCAAGGACCGAGGAGAAGGCCAAGGTTTTAGCTGCCGAGGCTGCTGAGAGGACAGCACGAGCCAAGGATTTTGAGAGGGAATTACGAGTTGAACGGGAATGGAGAACGTCTCTTCAAGAATCATCAATCTCGAACGCGGAAAGGATTTCTCAATTGCGTCAAGAAAACGATCAGCTTAAACAAATGTCCGAGGTACGGGGGATCAAAGTATAAATTATTGTTAATTATTTTTATTTTGTTTGTTCATAATTAAACGAAGGAAGGAACATTCTTTTTTTTTTTTTTATCTTTTTTCCTTCACATTAAATTCTCTAACGAATTTAACATTGTTTTTTTTTACTTCTCGTAACAAATTATATTTATATCGCAAATAGTTCTTCATTTAATTTCTTAACACGAAGACAATTTTCTATTATATTTTTTGAAGTTATACTTCTTTTGTGTGGGGTGCGTTTTGGAAAGTGAAGTTGAATGAGACCGAAAAATCAACACCACGAAATTGTCGATATTTATGATGCGCGGGAAAATTGAAGTTATTTTTGAGGTTATGTTCGTTTTCGTACGCCAAAGGAGTATAACTTTTTACGTGCGTACATAAGTACACACACCAATTTTTATTATTATTATTATTATTATTGTTCGTTTGAAATAAATTAATTCGATAAAGAAATGTCAATCGTTTTATTTTTTTTCTATTTTTTTTTTTTAGAAATACGTAACACTCCAGGAAGAATATTACGCGTTAAAGGAAATCTGTTCGGAACAAGAAATAACTCTCGAGGAACTTGGGATGCAGTTGAGCGCAGCTAAACTTGCGACGGTCGAATTACGGGAGGCTGCTGACAATGCACAACGGCAGTCGCAGCAAGATGGCGGCGGTAGTGCATGGGCGGACGATCGACAGGTAACCCATTGCAAGGGTTGTAATCGTGAGTTCAACATCACTCGTCGTAAGGTAATCAAACTTTTTAATTACTCCTTGGATCAATTATCTACACCATTCTTCTCTTTTAACTTCGATCAGCTTTCGTCGTTGTTCTTGTTCCTTCCCCCCCGTTCCCCGTTCCCCGTTCCCCCGTTCTGCACCACCTTCTTCTCTTTCTGCTGTTCTTCAATCGGTCGTCTTACATTCGAATCGACATTTACTAAAGAGAAGAGACTACATGTACCATCCTTAATCGTTCAATTATTCTTTGGCAAAGTGGAAATTGCAGTTTCATCCTTAAAACTTGTATTTCATGGTAATAGTAAACAAGTAAATACCACCACCACCAGACCCTTTCACATCCCATGATCCTCAATCGTGGAAGCGATACTACTCGTGTAACAACATTCCACTTTAGAGAGGACCTAGTCAAATCGATTATGCTAATGATCTCGTTTCCAGGATGATTATTATCGAGTTACGTTGACGAGTGAGAGTTCGGGGAATCGTTCGATTCGTCTAATAAAAAAACAAAAAAAAAGAAATGGGGAATAACCCGTTTCGTTGTCTTTATGATGACGTTATACGGATGCCGAGAAACATTCTTATCGTTTATTCCTTACGTAGTTGTATTAGCGTTGAAATGTGTTTTTTTTTGTCTATCTTCTTTCCTTTATTCTTTTTCCTTTAGCTTTTAGCACGGTCTCTCAGCGTTTCTTCTTCTCCTCCTCCACCTCCTCCTCTTTCTCTTTCTCTTTCTATTTTTCTGCTTCCATCGTAGGATACTTTTTCTTCTTAACACGAATAACGCGCCGGCACGGTATAAGCACTTAAAGTATTCACGGGGAGAGATCTGATCGTTCCGAAGTGCGGTTGCGTGCATCGATAAGGTGTAGTGGTCAGGAGGGGTTAAAGGGGGGGGGGGTGTGTTAGGACGAAGCCAAAGAGAAGAAGAGAGAGAGAGAGAGAGAGTGAAGAAATAACGAGAAGAGTCGAACCAAAAGCGAAAGAGAACGAAGGTAAAAGGGTAAGAGGGGGTAAGAGGGAGAGGGAAAGAGGTAGGCAAGCATTCGTCATACGGATAAATTCCGCGCTGAAATTTATACGCGCCAGTACCTTATCGAAATTTCGTGGACGTGCACGATAGACACGATTTACTGTATAACAGCTAACATCTCGACACTCAAAGCTAATCGTGAACAGTATTCTTTAACCCTTCACAACGTTACAAAGAAATCCGATTAGCTAGCTATCGTTGATATTATTTTTATTCATAGTTCACGCATTTCCGACACCATTAGAATAGAAAAATAGTAACGAAATAAACTTAGAAAATGAGAATTAGAAAGAGATATATAGAATAGAATAGGTGAATACTGTGTGATTGTAAGATTTATGAAATTTAGGTTTAATAAAAATAACTCTCGTATAGAAAGTTATGTGTCCTTTGCTTAAAAGTCTTCATATTCCTTGGAATAACCAGAACGTCCAATTACATTATTGCACCATCACCCGATTTATATTCATGATTACATGTCATGCATGCAAGTTGTGTTGTGCATGCATATTCAGCTCGCGGATGCGATAGAGACGTTGGCCCGTTGTTCCGTGAAATACATTTATACCTGTATTCGTCTCTTTGTTTTACCAAGGTAAGAAAAGGAGACGGTTTAAACTAGGAAAGGATATCTAACGTTGGACGACGATGTTGTGTGTGAGAGAGAGAAAGAGGTAAAACGGGCCCGTAGCTTAGTAGGAAAGGGAAGCCTTGGTAAGTTATTGCATAATAACAAGGCAGGAGTACCCGAGGCATCCTTGTTACTCATTTTTCGCGGTGTGGATGTATTACCATACTGTTTAATGTAGACCATGCCAGCCGCGGACAAGGTTCGTCCAGATGGAATCATACCAGTAGGCAAACCTTCCCTCCAGGGCCGCGTTTACCTTCGCGAGCATCCACAATAGCGAAGGCAAGAGTTGCCACCTCTTCTATGTCTACATCTCTCTCTTTTTTTTTTTTCTCTTTCTTTCTTTTTCCGACTCTCGAGGTGCTAGTCCTTACCAGGAAGTTCGTAGGAAAACCACGCCGGGGTAGATGCAAGCTCGCGTACTTGCACATGCAAAGGCATGCAAAACAATGACCCAACTTGCCCCTTGTACATTTCTGTCCGGTTGATACGTTGCCTTTAACTCGAACACTTCTTCTCCTCAGCCAATTCCTCCCTTTTCCGGAATTTTTTTGCCCCCCCCCCTCCACTTCTCCGAACTTTCTGATCTTATTTTTACGTAGAAATTATTCTTCTTTGTTTTAAGCATATTTCTTTATTTTTAATATAATACTAGAATGGAAATAAAGAAATTTTGTATAGGAATCGGTTGGAAAAATGATTCTTTCATTTGTAGAAAAACACACGGTATCGGAATGATTTTTTTTTCCTTCCAGTTGGTCGAGGGAGGAGAGGGGTAAAACGTTCGTAGAAATATTTCATGAAAATTTTCTAATCACCGTTATCTTCAATCAACGAAGTCAACGCGTTTCGCGATCACATTTATTTTCAAAGAAGAAGAAAAGATCCTCTTTCGTCAATATTCTCATGGATTCTATCGATAATTTTGATATCGACGATTCTTAGATCTCTTCGGTAATGAAACCCACCACCGTTATATTATTTTTCCAATATGCTTTTATGCTATAAGATATTATGATACGTAAACTGTGCCGACCCGATTTTACTTCGCACAGTTACATTCGCTCATATTTCTTTTATGCATCACGAAAGACATGCATCAACTTGATCGAAAACTTTCTTTACGAAATGTACGTTATTATTATTATTATTATTACGAAAGAAATGCTATTTCCATTCGATACAGAAGAGAAGAAATTAGATCTACGATCAATTTTCAATTATAAACGATATTATTTCCTCTTTTAACTGAAAATATTTTTTCTTTCTCTCTTTTTTTTTAATATTATAAATCCGTTTCAATCAAATATCGTAACAAAATTTCAATTTTTCTTCTTTTTTTTTCGTTTACGATTTAAAAAAATATCATAATAATAATGACAAATAAATGTCAACAAATTTAATATTAATCAATCGATCACAAATATCATCATTTAATCCAACCTATTCTTACCAACGATATAGAACATGAATAAAAATCAGTACGAATTCAAGAATATTATTCAACCTCTGACTACTTTTATTATACACGAATACATAAAAGAAAAAGAAAAGAAAGTAAGTAAGAACATAAAAAAAACGAAACGTAGGTAAGTCGAGGAAAGAAAATTCAACGGGCAAGTTTACGGATCGCCAACGGTCCATCATTTGCTCGACAGTATCTTTTAGATCTGATCTTTGAAGAGACTGATTTATTTTACTTGGAAAGTATCTATAAGTAGGTATCTATCTCCGTTAAAAGATAAGATGTAAGAGAGTAGAGAGAGGTTTACGTTAGACAGAAAAAGAGAGAAAGAGAAAGATAGAGAGAGGGAGAGAGAGTATACCCGGTAGGAGGAAGTTGCAAGCACCGATCTACTGCGTTTAGGTCGTAAGTCATGCTGATGGGACGGTTCAATAATTAAGTTCGTTGAGGAAATCGGTTATCGAGACGATATTATTCGCCGTCTCTTACTTTCCGGTAATAACTGCTAAGTTAGACCGCGCACGTCGAACCCATTGGCTTCATTCGTTCATTCGTTCGTTCATTCATTGTCATCTTACTTAACTTCGGATTCAATTTAGATGTAAAATTTACTTGGGCATACTTTCCTCGAGGTTGTTATTCTTCACCTTTTCTGTCCGTTGTTCATTTCTTTTTTTTTTATTTCTGTCACAGTTTGTCTGAGAAAGTCTCACTTCCTTTTCCCATTTCTTTTATTTTTTTTCGGTTGTGTGTTCGACGAAATTCACATTATTATAATAGAAGATCGGTGGTAATGGTTCGAAAATAAAGAGCTCCGATAGGTGGAATAGTAAAGAGAGCTTTTTTTGTGTGTGTTTTTTTKTTTTTTTTTTTTTTTCACACTTTTAGGTAAAACGAGCCGAGGGAGAAAGAACGTGTACTTCTCGTAAAATCCTGTCTTTATCGTTGCAGTGGTCGACAAAACTCTCCTCCTCCTCCTCCTCTTCCTTTCCCTTTCCCTTTCTTTTTCCTTCTTCCTTACCAGAAACGTTCATGTCTAAGGAAATTTCTTTTTTTTTTTCTTTCTTTTCCCAAAAGAGTACCAATCGATTTTTCAACGCATTGGGGGATACATTTTATCGATGAGATGAGATGAGATATACTATCCACGTTTTTTTCATCTTATTCATTTTATTATTTTATCAAATAATTTAGCCATACCTTATTACAAATATATAATACATCCTTGTGTTAATACACATATATATATAACTATTTTATAATACATACATCCTTGTGTTAATACACATATATATATATAACTATTTTTGTTATTATTTAATAATTATTAATCGAATATGTGTGTGTAATTTTCTTTTTATATTTTATTAATTTTATATTATTTTTGTTTGTTTGTTACAGCACCACTGCCGTCAATGTGGAAATATATTTTGCAAGAACTGCAGCGACAATACAATGTCATTGACTGACAATTCTAAACAAGTTAGAGTATGCGACGAGTGTTACGTTTTGTTGGTTGGCCGATACTCGGTTATGCTTTAACTTGTAATTCTTTTAATGAGATTATATTGAAGGTGTAACATGTAAGGAAGAAAAGGAAGAAGAAAAAGAAGAAAAATGAAAGAGAAGAAAGAAAGGAGAATCGGAAGAAAATAGAATGGGGATCTATGATGGAATAAGACGCCTTTTACCTCTCTCTCTCTATCTCTCTCTCTCCTATTTTCATTGTCTATTCTTAGCACGCATTTTGACGGACGAAAAAGTAGAGTTCGAACTTTCCTGCTTCTTGATATTTTCTTACGTTTACTTTTATCCCTTTTTTTTACCTTCCCCCACACGACCCACACCCACCCCGGTTCCGGAAACTTTTTCTTATACAAGTATAATACTTTTCTCAACCGAGAAACCGGTATAACAAATTTTTCTACAATTTTCATCTACCTACCAAGCCGATTCTTTCAATATTTTTTTTTCTCCCTTTATCTCTCTCTCTCTCTCTCTCTCTCTCTCTCTGTTTCACTGTGTCTTTATATTTCTATCAATTGATATCGTGTTTTTAATTTCTTTTCTTTCGTTTTGTTTTCCATTAAAAAATATGTTAGAAAAAGAGAGAAAGGGAGAGAAGGAGACGGGGATAGGAAAATTTTGTTCGAACTGATCGCACAATTTTTCTTATGATTTCTAAACGATCCCAGCTTGCACGCGTGGCTGCGTTTCGAAACTTTCAACTCTTGCGTTTCACGTACATTTTTTCCTCCTCCTCCTCCTTATCCTCCTTCTCTTTTTTTTTCTCTCTCTTCTTTTTGTTAAAACCCTTTCTCTTCTTCCTGTGTATATATCTTCTCGAATAATAAAAAAACAAAAAAGCCCGGTATTCTCCAATCTTCGTTAATACGTTTATAATTATATTCGATGATGCACTAGATGATATTTTTGCACTGTTGTTCGTTGATTATTTAAATTGTGCTCAACACAACAACGGACATACTTGGACACGTTGTTTATGTTCGTGTTAATTCTGACATTTATATTAAGAATACTCAATGGAAATTTGGAAGGTAAAAAAAAAAAGCAAGCATAAAAAAAAAATTGCGTAGCCATTTACCAGTATGCGTCTCGCAATTTTTGCTACGCGTTCGTGCCTGTTGTACAACGATATTTTTTAAATGCGTCTTTTTGTAGCCACTTTACGATAAGAAAATAAAAAAAGAGAAACAAAAATGATATTATAATACGTAACAATAAAGTACACTGTTTTCATAAAACAAAATTGCTACTATATCTATCTATCTCTCTTTCTCTCAAAGAAAGTTTAAGTTAACAATCAATTTTTCCAATCCACTTTTTATACAAACGTTTCTTTCAAAATGATATTATAATACGTAACAATAAAGTACACTGTTTTCATAAAACAAAACTGTTACTATATCTATCTATCTCTCTCTCTCTCTCAAAGAAAGTTTAAGTTAACAATCAATTTTTCCAACCCACTTTTTATACAAACGTTTCTTTCAAAATGATATTATAATACGTAACAATAAAGTACACTGTTTTCATAAAACAAAATTGTTACTATATCTATCTATCTCTCTTTCTCTCAAAGAGAGTTTGAGTTAACGATCAATTTTTTTCCAATCCACTTTTTATACAAACGTTTTCTTTTCAATGGTCTAAGAGTTTGATAGGTAATAGAAGGTGGTGATGGTGAAACGAGTGTTGGGATTTAAATAGAATCGAATCATTCCCATTTGGTATAACGTGAGAACCATCAACGATGACCGTAAGTCGATATCCAATAGAATTGTGAATACCTCTTCTTCTTCTTCTTCTTCTTCGTTCCTTCTCGATGAAAGGATTAACTTCATGGTCTCTGTGTGGATACGAAAGCAAACGATTCAGTTGGTAAGTACGAACATTGAATGAGGAAATGAGAGAGTTAGAGAGACTGTAGGGTGACGGGGCTGGCGAGGGGTGAGGATGCGGGGCTGGCGGGGAGAGAGGGAAGGAAAATGAATTTCTTGGAGAAAGGAAACCCTTCCCGAAGAAAATGCCAAGTATAATGTGTAATCTAGGCAACGGAACGTAAATCCCTTCCTCACACGCGTTCCTACCCTCCCTTTAATCTGCCAACCGGGAACCACACGCCATTCTATCGACTTCAAACTAGAAACATTCTAGGCCCATTGCAAAACGTTACGTTTCTAATAACACGTGACATTCCTATTTCCCATTTTTTTTTTTTCGAATACGTTAACGATATTTATATATATATGTATATATATATATATATATATATATATATATATTAAAAAGGGTCGCGTATACTTTTTTCTTTGTCTTTTTTGTTTTTTTACTTAATTTTTAATATCATACATTTATTTTTGAAATTCGTTTCACGATTTGTCTAAAAGTTACGAGAATAATTTTTTAATTGAGAATTATTAAATAAATGTAATTACGAAAATGCGAAATAATATTATAACATAATAGAATATTTATCAATGAAATATCTTATTATTATTGAATATAATATTGAATTGGCAATTAAGTAATTGTGGATTTTAAATAAGAAAAATGATTCGAAATGTTTCCTGAAAAATATAACTTTATTCAATCAGGTATTGCACGTTCATACAATTTCTGATCTTTGTTATCGTAAAAATTGAATTAAATGTGATTTGTCTGTCAATAAAATCCGCAATCACTTAGTTTCCAATCCAATAATACAAAAAAGAAAAATATTCTTACAATAAATTATTAATAAATAATATTTCATTTTGTTATGAAAATATTTTGGGGAAAAAATAAAAATAAGAAAAATTCACAATATAAGCGTATCAAATAGACTGCAAGAATTATCAACAAATCGGTAATAAATATGTTAGTAATTTTTTTTGTTAATGATATTATAAAAAGTATCTCAAAAAAATTATAATAGATAAATTGTTACGTAAGTCTTTAGGTGTGTCTTAGAAACGTTCGAATCAAGAAGCTTTCTTGTTTTAATGTGAAAACGCGCTAGGAGGAGGTGGAATCTTGCTCGGCGTTGCACGAGTAGCCACGGCACCGACCGCGATAAGTTTCGAAGCTGTTTTGGTTGGTTGTGGGCTTGCGACCGCTCGTAGGCCAACTTGTCAGCTATCTACGACTTTCGAAAGCTCGTTAGCCGCGAACGTGCACGCTTAAACGGATGTTAAATTGAAATCGATCCTCTAGAGGTGCCTTGTCTTGCCTTCGGTTTCAAAACCAACCCCCTCCCAACCCCTCCCAGCCCCTTTCTCTCTTCCTCTTTCCCATTTTCTTCCATACCTGAAACGATCCCACTCTCTCTGTCTATCTCTGTCTCTCTCTTTCAATCTATCTATCTCTTTTACTCTAGCATTGTTCTTCCTTATTCTACTAGGAAAGGTGAGTTAACCTGAGGTGTACCTAGCACGAGAAGCCACTGAATGCACGCGACCGGTTTTCCCAGTCCCTTCTTTCAAAGAGAAATCCTCTCACCCCACCCCATAAACGATTCGCGTGCCGTGGGATGTATGCGAAGTGTTTTACGAAAACGAGAAATTCGTCGGATTCGTCGAAGATTAAAGAATCCCACCCTTTTCTTTTTTTTTACTTTTTCAAGTTACTGTCTTTCGATTCAACTACACAGATTTTTTTACGATCGATTATAAATTTGTCATTAATGTATATGCGTATTGATTTATTTATGATCTTGAAGCTTGTAGAATAATTAAAGATTTTCCTAAATAATTATGAATGATCGATTTGATAATAGTCAGGTTTTCTATGGTAATAAAGGTGGTTTAACATCGAGCACGTAGATTTACCTTTTGAATAATCTAATCGATTGGGATGGCTGGCATGCGTATAATAGGTAGAAAAGGAAGGTTGTTGCGCGTAATAACATCCGACCGGAGGTGCGATTTCATCGGGTGCCACTCGGATCCTGAAAATTGTAGGTAGAAATGCCGTCCTGGGTAGAAATTAACACGCGAACTCTTATAGTTAGAGAAACGTTTAAGAGTATTCGAATATATCAAACAACGCAGTGTATAATAATGATAATGATGATGATGATGATGATGCTCAATTAAATAATCAAATTTTTCGGTATTCTGTTGTTCGTCTTCTGCCAGTTCTGGATACGTCGATTGGTTACTCGTTGACTTTTGTTTTTATTTTTTCGGTTCATTCGTTACTTTTCATTTATTTTCGCGGTTCGGGTTTATCCCCGTACAGAAAGCTTTTGTCTTTTCATTTATTTATTATTTGTTTTTCGGCGGGGGCTGGGCTGGGGTGAGATGGGATGGAGTAACTAACTACGGGGCTCTTTTTTTTGTTCTTTTTTTTGTTTTTCGGTTTTACTTTTTTATTTGACTTTTCCACAAAACGGCTGGTAGAAAAAACGTAGAACATAATCTCGTAACACGATGGACCGTAAAAAGCGTGATGGTGATGGTGGTGGAATCCGCCCCAAGATCACCGATGCGTAGCCACTTCCGAGTTTAGCAAAGCACAATGAAAAAGCGCGAAACGAACTACATTCAACGAGGCGACATACGAGAGTGTGCGTATCATGTATACGAAAACTTTGATTCTCTCGTTTTCTCTCTCTCTCTCTCTCTCTCTTTCTCTATATATGTATATGTATATGTATATAACGTAAAAAATGGACTATTCGGTGATGCAGCGAGCCGTAGCAAGTCATACAAAGTAGCGAAAACAAATGATTGTTTTCCGTCGTGTTTTCAAACGTCCCTTCCTATCGATCTCCCCGTTTACCCCCCTTCACCCCCCCTCCCCCATTCTCCCTCATCATCAATTCTTTTTGTTAGTTATTCTCAACGATTTTTCTAGATTTATTATATTAACTGGCCGAACAAATTTAAACAAAAAAAAAAAAAAGAAAAGATAAATTGATATATAAAAATGAATATAAATTCGAATGAACATACAACAATTTACATTTGTTAATGTATAGAAAAGTTAGGATTTAAGGAAAAACATAAAAATCAAAACAGCACGTTTGCGTTTGCGTTCGCGTTTGTGTTTGCCTACGTAGGTTTTGTTAGTATCGTGGAAACATCAATTAGGTCGACGAGTTGCCTATGGATCGACCAACCACCATGCGACGTTGTTTAATCGTACCGGTGATATTTCACGACATTGGGTCATCATTTGTGGCATTGTCGTTCCACTGACGAAACGGTAGCGGTATATCGGGTACACGTATTTATCGGCAAAACGATTCGTTTCACCCCGTAACTTACGATTTTAAAGCAATCCCGTGGTATTCCATATCGTTGGAATAAGTACTGACGTATGCGAACAATTTACTTTTTTTTTTTGCTTTTATTTCGTTAAAGTTCAATAGTATTATTTTTTAGGCTTACGAGGAAGACTCCCCGTAGTTGAAAACCCGAGTCACCTATTTTACGATTTTTATTCCTCGTCATTTTTTTTTTTTTTTTTATAAATAAAAGTAAATTGCAATTAAAAATGAGAATTGGAATAGGATTGATAAAAAGATTCGGAAATGAAGCCAGACAGACAAAATGCATTTTTTTCTGATTAATTCTGCATCGGTTTGGTAAAGTCTGCAACGTGAATTTAGTGAATGATAAAAAATGGATAAGTAAACGTGAACAACAATTAAGTCGATATTTTTATTGAATATCATACGTTCATAATTAATACGAATTTTGATCGAGGTAACAGTTTATTAATAATAAATGTAAATGACAAATCTTATTATTACAATTCCACTTTCGTTCGTGCGTTAAAATTTAGAACGATCTCTTATTCGAATTCTCTTCTCATTCTCAACCCGTTTAATCATAATTCTCATCTGAAAATTCACCACGGTGGGTAACATTTCGTAAGATAATTCTTTGGTAAATGACTCACGATTTGACCAATAATAGAACAAATATTTTATCCAAACATTTATCCGACGAGTAGAAATTATTTTAGAATTATACGGGATATAAACTTTTATATAACTTCAGGAGGTGCAAATAATCCAATAAGTATCGATCGATACCCCTTCATTTATAATATTTCGAGATTTCCATTTCTTATGAACCTATTCAGCCGAGATATTCTTATAGAAAAAGTTCGTGTTCTCGATAATGACATTAATAATTGAACTATCAAAGATGCTCTCTTTTTAAAGTAGATCAATTTGATTTTTCTTATTTTTCTCGATGTTTATCTATCATTTACAAGTAATATTTACACGCCAGGCCAAATGAAAAACGTAAAAAGGAAAAGATTATTTATGTCAAAGTTTTCTATTTCGTATTATATTCCGTTGTTTATTTTTCTATCAAATAAAAAGTAGAATGACTCAAAGGATTAAGATGCTCTCACTTTGTCGAAGGTTTTTCGTTGTTTGTTTATTTTTGAAAAGCTAAAATAGTATCTCTCATTTTACAACGGAGTTTCTTTATCTTCTTTACATTATTTTATCACCACTTTTGGTTCCTTTAACCATTTATTATCTTCCGGTATCCCCAGTGTTGACTCGAGAAAAACGGAACCCTATAAACCAACAAGTTCTTGGGAAAGATGGATCTTTTGGATAAGTACTTAACTTGCCTACTCTTTTCCAATGCGTCCTCTTAAAGGTTTCCTTTGACTCGACACCTTAACGTGCTCGTAAAACAGAGAAAGAGAGAGAGAGAGAGAGAAAGATAGTCAAAAGTTCCTTCGAACTAGCAACAACTAGATTTTCAAAGTGTGCTGATTCCGCACTTAAACTTAACTTTCCCGACTATCACATGCAGTGATCCTGCATTTTGCAAGTTCTATTTTTCTCTTTCTACCTTGCGGCAATTTTCGTAGTCTCCTAACACTCGAAATAATTATTGATAACGCGATTGAATTAATAAACATAATTCGAAATATTAAACAACGCGAAATAATAAACACGGATACATTGTTTTCTATAATAATTATTTGCCCAACGCGATGTTTATTTTACTCTCGGTTAATATTGTAAGTCAATTTGTAAGTCAGTAGAAAAATATAAAATTTATAATTTCGAATATATAAATCGATTTTCAAATACGAATATTCATGCGATTTAATAGCATATTCGATATAATATCACGAACTTGTTTTTCTCCCACGATATTTCAATCTTGTTTGAAATTATATTAGTACGACGTTTTGTTTATATTTCTTTTCTTTTTTTTTTTTTGTGTATTTCCTTTTCATTCTTTCTCTCTGTCTCTCTCTTTTTTTTTCTTTTCGATTGTATTTTATTTGATAGTTTTTTGACGAGTTAAATTGATCTCTCTTTTTTGAATATTTGCATTTTTACAATTGTAATGACATGTTTCCAATACAAAATATTATAAATTCGTAACGTCAATAAAAATACGTGTAGCATAAATACGAGGAGTAGTAATATATAAATAATAAATTGTTTATACATTATTCAATAATAATAATAATAATAATAATAATAATTTAAATTATATAAAAAAATGTTTTTAAATGAATGTGTTAACGCGAATATCTTTCGTAGACTTTATGTTTTATACTTTACACGTGAGAATTATTTTATTTTCAAAATAAAAGATTTTGAAAAACAAGGACCGACCCCATATCGAAGGAAACGAATTTTTTATAATTGTAGATTTTTTTTTTCGTAATATAATTAATTAAAAAATTAGTAAAATGTTTGACGAAATAACGTCGACGAATTATTTTAATGTGATTCGAGATGAAATTTAATTATTACCGGATTTATTGTCACGTTAAAATACATATGAATATTCGCGACCAGTGTGTAATCGTATTTTCATTTTATGAAAAATTTAAAAGCGTCATAAAGTAAATTGAAAGAAAATCCTCCCTTGGCTAAAATCGTACCGATAGAGGAGTCCATTTATAAAAATTATTATTAATGAATAATTTTGATATCGTTGAAAAATTAATTTCTCTTTTCTTATTGACATATTTCAAATGCATACGAAAAATCCTCGACTCAGTAATCGTAAATAGTGGTTTTTCTTTTTGTCGAATAAAACTATAAAGCAAATTGGAAATTAAAATTTTGGGTTCTTCTACGAATCCTAATAAAATTAATACCTTTTATGAATATTTATATATCATTTTTATACGATTTTAACTAATTTTTGATAAGATTTTGTACTACGTTTCGAATTTATATGAATGCAATTGTACTTTTCACGTATTAAATAAAAATAATAAAATCGTTTTAGAGAGAGAAAGAGAAATTTTTATATTTTTCGAACTAATTTGTTTCAGATTTATTGTCATATTTCTAATTGGTATGAATAAATCTTCGATCTGTATAATTGCATTATTTTTCTTATCAAATCAAAATAAAATAAAAATATTTGTATAATATAAAGAGAAGATAGATTATTTTTTAAGTTATATTTTTTTTTTCAGCGCAGTTATAATAATATAATAATATTTTCTTTAAATAAATAAATAAAATAATATTTCGCGTTTACAGGGATTTTTGAAGTGAAAACTTCTTTAGAAACGAACAAACGATACTGAAAAATGGAGCATTGAGTTCCAGAATACGAAATTAAATTTAAGCACAGATGTATTGATCAAATCCAAACCAAAGCATTTATTTTATACTTTAGTTACGATAAGCCACTCGTGTTTTTTGTTGAAATTGAAAATTTGGTTGAGTCTGTATAATATGTAATGTAGTATACGTAGTATAAAATGTAAACATTCGTCTCATTCTCTGGAAGCTTAGTTTCCTGAAAGTTTTGCTTCTCTATCGCGTGTGTGAACTGCACGCAGTTTATTATAATTTTTTAAATTTAATTATTTGCTATTTTGTTTTGTTATATTTACGCCAAAGAAGTGTAACTTCTTACGTGAGTACATAAATAAACACACCCGTGTTTTTACGTATTATATATCTAGAAAAAAAAAAATTAGATAAATAAATTCATTGAATAATTTTGTTATCAGATTAAATGAATTTTTCCATAAAACTTGTTTAAATTAATCTTATTCATTTCAGTCGAAAGAGTTATTGGTTTTTGAAAATAAATGAAAATATAGAAAATAATTCGCTACATTTTGAAATTTGATTACAGAAAAGGGATGAGTGTGACACAGTTTAATAAACAAATTTTTGATACTTACGAACGTGATGAAGTATCGGTACGTGTACTCCAAAGTTTATTCAAACGTTTTCAATTTATAAATTTGAATGTAAAATATGCATCTAGTTTTAGTCGACGAATCACTGTAAAAATCGATGAAATGAGGTGAAAGGAATTAAACAAAAACCAACGAAATAAAATTCACGATATCTTTAAGTAACTAAACGTCGTGCACAAAACAATTATAGATACAAATCATTTGAAGAAAATCGAATAGAAAATACGAACGAAAATTCGTTTAACTTTTGTATTAAAAAAAAAACACAGGTGTGTGTACTTATGTACGCACGTAAGAAATTTCAACGATTCAGTACGAATGCTGCACATTTTTAAATTTAATTTAGTATGTAGAGGAACGCAATCAAACACGTGAACAATACACCAAGCTGGCTATGACGCGACTAACTTCATGCAGTTAATTTTATATCGCTGTGCGCGCGCATCGTTACTTATGCCAAACTTCATACTGTTAATTTCGCGTCGTTGTGCCGCCGCTAAAGCATCGTCAAAATTTACTCCCATTATTTGTTCCCGAACGCGCTAAAAGAAGAATATGATACCTACGAAAAAAAAAAACAATAAAGAAAGATAAAAATTGTAAAAGGAAATTGTTTTGTTATGATTAACTCTATAAAAAGAGATTAATAAATTCCTTTTTAACTTAGTTAATATCCAAGTTGAATATACATACATACATACATACATAGATCGAATTAAATCGACTTTTATGTTAGTTTGAAAATTGCGAGTGAGTCGAGTGCTAGGTGAGGGTGTATCTCGAGGGCGCGGGATAGTTTCCTCGGTGGAGTTGTGAAGTGGAAAAAGTAAATTTAACGCGAGCTTACCAAGTAGAAAGAGTAAAGGTTTGCGTCGGCGCAATAGAAGTTCCGCACGCTTTGGCGGCAAACCATGAGAGAGTGGTTTGCCGTTTGGGTTGCGTCCTAAGCGTCAGTTGACGTAGACCCGTCGTCGACGTAGCAATATGCTTTTCGTTCTCGCGATTCCGGTGTTATCCATCGTGACATGGGCATCCGCGCTGATTGATCCGTTATCAGGTAAATCGATAGTGCCGACATATTGATATTTATTCTCTTCTTTCTATCACATACACACACATATATATATATATATATATATTCAGTTAATTATCGCTTTTGCACACACGAACGGCACAATGAATTTAATTATTCACAATAATTTATTCAAATAATTTTCATTCCATAAGAAATTGTATTAACGCAAATCTATACCCAACGAATCATCTATCTTTTTTATTTTCTTCTTACCGTCGTCGTCAATTTTTAAAGATAAAAATAAATTGGATCCCTTTTGTTCGTATTATAACATTTTATTCTTTTTATCTTATATTTTGTAAGAAAAGAAAAGAAAAGAATAGAAAAAGAAAAGAAAAGGAAAAGAAAAAACCGAGAGAAGAAAAGTAAGTAATATCAATGCGAAGAGAGAAAAAGAAAATCTATCCTTAACGATCGTGTCCTACGGTTTCACGTCGCGTAGAAGAGTTGAAACAGAAAGGTGTAGGAGGAGGAGGAGAAGGATTATCGATCTCTTGATGAAAATCACGAGACAATCGTGGCAATCTCGATTATGTTGGTGTCGCGAGTAAAGACATTGAAATGGAAAGCTGCATACTCTGCATTGTTCCACCTGCGACCCTCCCGTTATTTTCTTCTTTCCCTTCGTTGCTTTTACTTCGATCTCTTTCTCTCTCTCTCTCTCTCTCTCTCTCTCTCTTTCTTTCTTTATTTCTTTCTGTTACTCTTAGCAGGCGGCAAGCACGGTTGGCAAGTATAAATTATCACGGCGGAAGTTAGTCCAACGAACTCTCCTTATCCATTCGTACGATAATAATTACTCTCTCTTTCTTGAACGAGTTCCCTACCGGAATAGGTTCTTTAGTCGTCGTCACTGGACACATTTCGTAGATCGTTCTACGAACGACGTGGGCTTCGTTTATTTGCATCTTCCATCTTCTTACCACCCTCACTAACACTAACACCACTACCACCACCGCCAGTCAGTCCTTTTTAACTTTCTGATTTCGTCGACTAACAATAGACTTCTCTTCAGTGAACTCTTTACATTATTTATTTACCCCAATCCATTCGATATCCTTAATGAAACATTATTTTTCATTTTACGAATATTCTAATCGATTATTATTCGATTATAATTTCATTCGTTTTCCAATTAAACGATATATTATTATTAATTTGTTCTTTCTTTCCCCTAAATATAATATTGTAAACCTTTTTATTTTTTTCTTTTTTTCTTTTTTCTCGATGCTCGTTAAAGGTATCTTTATTGTTCGCTCGGTGTTATTTTTTTTTGTTTTTTTTTTTTTTTTATCTATCCATACATTTCCAAAAAGAACGAAAATGCGAAAAACGGAAATGAGAAACATAAATCGTTGCATTCGAAAAGGACATAGACTCGTGCACGTACGCGTATTTATACATATTGAAAAACGATCGTTGAATTTGTTATGTGCTTTTTTTTTATTCCCCACTCCCTTCTCCCGTCACTCCCCTCCCCCCTTCCCCCTCCTCTTTCTCCAATTATTTCCTTTCGTTAACAAAAGAAATAGATTCGATGATTAAAGTGAAATAACAACGACCAAAAAATGGTTATAAATTAAAAGTTTTATCCGGTGGTGTTATAAAAATTTTTTTGTTTCCTATCTCTCGCTCTCTCTCTCTCTCTCTCTCTCTCTCTCTCTTTCTCTTTCTCTCTTTGATGTATCGAATTTTTGTACAATAGTTTGGAGAAAGTATTATACGTCACGATTCTTGACGATTTTTCGAATGACGTGAGAGAAACAGAGACAGAGATAGAGAGAGAGAGAGAGAGAGAGAGAATAGCAATTTCATTAATGGAGAGAGAAAGATAATTGCATCGATGCACGCTCGACTTTGGTTCGAGCGCATCAAATTCGGTGGCTACGCGAATGAACGAACGAATGAACGAACGAAGGTGGCCTTTGAACTCCTACTGTCACCTGGAACTTTTAATTACTGTCAGTACTGTCGATGATTGACACTAAAGTGTACATTCGATTTCAAGTTGGTGTGTTAAAGGTATTTATTCCAATCGAGAAAATTGAAAGAAGTTTCCGTGTAATGTCAGCCAGCCAACCAGCTAGCATTGTGTGTTATTCTTTCGTGAGCAAATACAGCCTCGTCATTTTTACAAACGATACCATTGGTTACCTAACTGTGTACTTATGTTAGATATTCATATGTATGTATGTATGTATGTACAGTATACACGGAATACTTTGAACGTATACATGACTCATCAGTTTGATCGTAATATATGAAATACAGTGATGTATACGGTCTTAAATGGTTTCAAAATTCATATATTCGAATAAGAGAACGAGATTGAAAGCTCGAAACGAATGAACGATACCCTTTTTGTTTGAGTAAATCAATCTAACGATAAGAAATTTGATTATCACGTTTTCCCAAAGGTTTCATTCCCGTAGTTTGTTTTAATCGAGAGATAGAGAGTATCCTACTATTACTATTACTACTACTACTACTACTATTACTACTACTATCCTTCTTCGTCCATCGTCTTCCTTAATCACGCGCGAGATTAATTAGTCCTCTGACGTATATGATTGGTAAACAGTGTAATATTTGCCGGGGTGATTTCGCGTTTGATTGCACCTAATTCGCAAACAGCAAAGCACCGTTAGTCGACCACTCACCCTTCGTCTATTTGTAGTCGTAAGCGTAACTACAGTGAGCAAGAGGTAGTGAAAGAGGAATAGGAGGAGGAGGAGGAGGAGGAGGAGGTGCAGGAGGAGGTGCAGGAGGAAGAGGTATCCTACGTTAAATCGACAATTTCACTGCGTTTCGCACCTCGCGAGAGAGAGGACCGTGAGAAGCTCGAAAATCGGAAGCACGTGTGAACGGACTCTTGGGAATATTAATAGTGTGCGTGCATGAACTGACACACGCGTTCATATTGTACCTAATCATCGCGAGTTACATATTACATTAATGATTGTAAGTGGGAATTGTATGTAACATACAACACGATATTATTGGTCAGATTTTATTTCAACATTGCTCTCTCTCTCTCTCTCTCTCTCTCACTCTCTATCTATCTCTGTGTGTGTATTTGTGTTTATTTGTTGATAGTGTATATACTATACTATACTATATTCTCTATACACGCTGTTGCTTTTCCACACGATGCGGTTGAATCTTTAATATCCGATTCACGCATATGCGCATGTTGACCTAGTGCATGAATTATACCGAAACTAACCCAGAAGCTGTTCTTTCGAAAATGCATAGGTGATAAATATAAATGGTTGTTCGACGACTTTAAATTCGCATGAACGATTATTTCTCTCTCTTTTTCTTTCTCTTTCTATATATATATATTTTATTTTCCTAACGAATAATTATTTATCGGTTATTATTTACGTGTAAACAATTAAAATATTACTGCTGGTCGAATATAAGTTAACGTTTGATAATATAACATTTATTTTAAAATAATATTTTTATACATTTAAATATAATGTAACAAAAAAAAATCGAATTATCTGTAGATAATTAAACGAGCTTACATATAAATAATAATAATAATATATATAATGTATCTAATATATTATAAGAAATATTAGATATTTGTTTGACAAATTATTCAAAAGAACGTTTAATATTGATAACAGAGATATACACGAACGATTTAGTGTTGCGTGATAATCGAAAAAAAGAATAAAATATAAAACAGAGGAAATAAGAATGCAAAAAAAGATGAAAATGAAAAAGAAGAAGTAGAAGAAGAAGAAGAAGAAGAAGAAGAAAACGACGAAGTGGAATGATAACGTTGTTAAGTTAGAATTTCCCGTTAACGAAGCAAGAGAGGTAGCTTTTAAAAGGATGCTACGAGGAAAAAAAACAAATTCAGTTTGAGAGACTGACTCAAAGCCATCGTTAACGTTCACGAAAGAATCAGCAGGTCAGTAAACGATACCACCCTAACTACCCCCCCCCCCCACATACCCTCTAAACGCACTTTGTGATATTCGATAGACCGTCTATCATAAAATATAATTAAGAAATAATCTTTTTAATGAATTTCAAACACATACACGCGTGATCTGTAAACGAAAAATCATGCATGCGTTAAACCTGGCATGAATTCTGCCGAAATTTTGAGAATAATGCATTGAGAAAGGTTGCTGGGGGGGAAAAAAATGGAAGGGTGGCAGGGTAGGAGGGTGGGGGTGAGGATGGGGATGGGTATTGGATATAAACGTATCGACTTTTTTACGAGCGATCGATCTCGTCGAACGTAGCAAATGTTTTTTCTCTAGTACGATCATTCGGACGGGATATAAATATTTATTCGACATCGTTACGCGTATGTACGTTAATCTGCGGATCGACAAGCTTAAAGAAATGCTTTCCATTATTCCACGGTGTGAATTCGCGGTGGCTTTCGTGCTTCGTTATATTTTGTTCTTGTTCTACTTGTTGTTGTTGCATTTTTTTTTGGGGGGTGTTTTTTATTTTTTTATTTTGTTTCGTTTCGTTTCGTTTTGTTGTAGTATTAGTAGTAGTTATTCGCGATATTCGACGTAGGAAAAGCAACTTCGAATAATGAAGAGAATATGAATGTTGGTATAATAAACAAGTAACATCACAAGATAAAATAGAGATAGAAGTGAAAAATCCGCTTGGTCGCATACTGACGTTTTCAAACATTTCACTCCCCCTCCTCCCCCCCTCCCCTTCCCGCCCACTCCATCATCGTTTTATTCCTTTTATAATATATAACATACATATTATTAAATTTTCTTATTTACATAATTTATACTGCTAAAATGCAAAATAATATATATGTATATGTATATGTATATGTTTTTATCTTTTGCCAAAAGAAGAGAATAATACCATACGAATGGAAAACTTCTCATTGAAGATTCTACTTTAACGCGATCGACCGTTAAGCACGCGTTTTCACGCGCGAAGAGTTGGATTGTTTAACTGTGCTTTCATGCTTTGTGCTC